GAACCACCTTCCTGCTGGTTTATCTATCAGAGTAAGATATCAAAGGGTGTGTGATAATGATGGAGTCTGAAAAAATATTGCTTTGTTTTTCATTTTTCAAATTAAAATCTAAAATATATATCACCAGATAATGATATTTCCATTGATTTCAAATCTCTGACTTCAATGTTTCCCCTCTGCCCTTACCAGGAACATTGTGTGGCCCCTATATAGATAGTCTCTCCCATCTCTACCACCTTGAGTTTTGAAAAGATGTACCTACCTGGAAAAGTATACATTTCAGGATTCATCTCATTGGGGTTCTTCATGAACTTATTTATGGAACAAAAAATAATAATCACTGATAAAATGAATAAATTTCCATAACCAATAATAATAACTTTAATCCAGAATGTGAGGCACTTTGGGGTTTTCACTGGGGTTTTTATCAGCCATCATAATCAATCACTGGCTTTTGTTCAATTTCATATGAAAATTGGAGTTTGACCAGATTATACCTCGGATTCTATCAATACCTACCAGATTCATCATTTATTCTAGGCATATTTAAGAGGTCCAGGATAGATATGTAACTATTTTTTGTTGTTGTTGTTTTCACAGAGGTTAGGAAAATCTCAAGGCATGTTTTATTCTCACTCACCTCCACTTAATCTTATTGACACTTTTAGTTGAGTTTAATTCATCAAACACAGCAGGTAGAAACAAGAAAAACACTCGAAATAGTTATAAAATACCGAAAATGCCTTCAGTGTAGTTTGTTTATGGTCTCGTCTTCACTTATAATTATAACTCATAACCTCAAAGTAGTCGACCAATGGGAATTGGGCATGTAGGATGGGGGGCCACTACAGCGCAGAAAATTGGTGGAAACAAGAAAATCACTCGGAATAGTAAGAAAATACTGAAAATGCTTTCAGTCTCCAAGTCTCCACTCATTACTTATAACCTCAGAGTGGTCACGGAGAAACGCTACAGTGCGAGAGCGAAAAATAATAATCATCGCGGTGGGGGAACATTACAGCGCGAGATGTCTCTAGGCATCTTAGTACTGATCATCCCAACGAATATCCTTAATTGACGCAGAATCAAGTCTGCAGAGAATTTACGGCCGAGAGTCCTAGTAAAGTCATGTAGCTATCATATAAGCTTTTATATTGATATCAAATTGTCACATATCATTTACATCATAGTTACGTTACATTTTTATATAATTATGGGGTTCACATATTTCAGAATTTTTACGGAATATTTACGTGAATATTTTATATAAATAGGAGGTTCACATATTTCAGAAGTATTATGGAATATTTACGTAAATATTCTATATAAAAAAGTTCCGTTGATTTTATATAACAGTGATGTAAATATAACAGATGTGTTTGCTGGGAGTTTCCATGTAATAGACAAGCCAGTGCGATTTCGAATTTTCATACTTTCTCAGTAATAATAAATAATTCAACTACAACACCTAATTTTGTTTTATTCCAACTTAATCTAGAATATGATTAACAATATAAATAATTTAAAACTCCATTTCATTCATTCTTTATATCATAGATTTTTGCAAATTCTTCATCAAAATCGATGCTATTGTGGAAAGTAGTCTGTTGGAGAGGAATACAATATACACAATGAATACATATATTATGTACTTTGTTCTTCAGATTCTTGATATCAATGAAATCTTCTCATATGTTGTTCTTCTTGCTCCCTTGTGGAAATGTATGTAAGGCATATAATGAAAAACAAATAACATCAATTAATAATGAAAGTTAGAAATTATATCAGACTCACGTTCAAGTTTCTTTTCATCAACAGCAATTAAAGTTTCGTAGGAAAATACAATAGTTTCGTCAATCCTTGTCTTCATTAGTGAAAGCTATTGTAGGCTCTACTTCATATAATATTGCCTGCTCTACAAGAATAAACACAATCATGCCCAATCGTTCGCTGGACGGCAACAATTTCAGAACAGCAGAAGTTTGCAGAACCTGCCCAATAATCTCAAGTTTCTGTTTCTGTACACATCTAACTCGACACGAATAACGACAATTCCAGGATGGTAATCTGTTCACCATTCACCATCGGCCGATATCTATTATCAATATATTCGAGAATGTCCACCGAATTGATTTCCACAAGCACCATCGTTCAAAAATCACTCTAACTACGTAAATTTCAAAATGAAAATGGAATTATCACATCATGACAACTTTGACAGATACTGTATACAACGTGACAAATACAAATACATGGACCGATGTCGTTCAGGAACTCCTATGCTTGTTGTGGTCCGACTACGGTGGTCCAGACCTGCCGCTGAACGTAGCCCATGTTTCCATCAATGTGTTGTATAAACCATTGTTCAATCCTTCCAGCATAAATTCCAACAGAACAATTGGTGACGTCACGACAAAAAACCGCATCTATCAGTGCGCACTTTCTTCGATGGAATGAAAAACACGCCCGTATAATAATAGTAATTTTCCTAACAAGTGCGGAAAGTTATTCTTTCCCGCACGTGACTGCCGTTGACACGAACGACGCGAAGCGGAGTTCGGGCAAGCAGTCGAGTGCGGGAAAGACACTTTCCGCATGAGTTAGGAACAATATTTTTTCTACAAGCGTAGGAAATTGATTGTATCGTTCAATTAATTATTCAAGCAAATAGGAACAACTAACAAGAGATATATATTCTCTATCTATTAATTATTAGTAATAGCTATTGTGAACTTACAGTTTGACGCATTATGTTGGTTCATTGCGGAAGCCAGCAGGCCCATTAGGAGTTTGGTCTCTAGGTTCCAGACACTTCTATGGAATGAGCCAAAAATACCTATTCTTCATTCGGTTTTTTCATTTCTTTATTGTTGCACCATTCAATTAAACGCGTGTATAGCTTCTCATACCTTTCTTAAGACTTCGTTGGTGATTTTAACGCATCTGTCTCAAATCCCTACAGCTAGAAGTTTTTGATCACATTGTGGCATTTCCACTGAATCGAAAATGACAGTAACGCTGTGTCTGTCACTTCGACAATTTCAAACTTATTTGAGGTTTGATTGGCATAACAAATTGACGTTTCCCGTCAGATCAATACAAATCTATAGGGGGATTTTTATAATAATCCATTTTTATTTCTCAATATTTCTTAATTTTTACAATAAATAGTGCAATTTGATGGATGATTCTAAACATACATACTTAATTCTGCAACAAACAATCTTAAACTTTTATATTCCATCACCAACCACTTATATTACTAGCGATTATATCATATCTTTGTTTTCCCGCACTAGTGCGGGAAAAAATTTCCCGCACTAGTGTGGGAAAATTTTCCCGTACTGTTGCGGGAAAATGACACTTCCCAAACTAAATTGCGTGCGGGTATAGGGTGAATCACGCACGCTTGTAGAAAAAAATCTTTTTCTGTCATTTCTCATTACAATATGAATGCTTGTGTAATGAATATTGCAAAATTACCTATCATTGACTGAACCAGATTAAAATTATTTCCCGAAAAAAATAAGCTTACCATATTTCTTTCCATATAGGCACATCTAGGGAGCTTCGAAATTCAACCAAAAATGTTTCACAGGTATGCTGGCCATCTTTCATTTGAAAGGCCCGCAAGTGCTTAGATGTTTAGATAATTAGGGATACAGAGGGTGTTCAATAAATAAATGAATTTATCGAGGAAGGTAGTTTTTTGCATGGTTGAAGATTTTGTGTGACACTGGATGATCAAATATATGTATATATATATATCATCTACAGAAGTTCCAAAAAAATTCCAATACCTACCTCCTGTCCCTGTTCTTTGAATATTATAAGGATTTCCTTTCGTGCGCTCCAAGCGATAAAAAAAATGACTGTGGTGACTTGAAAAAGAAAATGCTTGAAGATGAAATAATAATTATGTACTAAATATGAAGGATTAAAATCGAAGTTCTCCAGAGTTTTCCAAGTAATTGATAACAAACCGAGGTGATTTTTTAAATTAAAATTTTCTGAGCACTTGAGATTTTGAATTTCGCAACACCCTGTTGAAATATTCTTGTAACATTTCATGAATAAATTTCAATTCCTGAAATCTTATCAAAAGTCAAATCTAAAAACAAAAAACATGAATATTTGAAATATTTATTGCTGCTTTTTTTATACTCATTACTTAAAAACTAATATGTACAAATTGTCATTACTTACTATATATTTTCATTTCAGTCTATCAATGTACATACACATATCATAAATTATAACAAATTGTTCTACAATTTTATTCAACAAATATTATTCATCTAAAATATAATAGAATATAAAAAAATCACCTAAAATTTTCAACTTTGGAGAAAACATTTAAATCAAACTATATATATACAGGGTGTTTCTAACTACGGTTCCTAACTGTAGGTGGTGATTCGTTAGGTCATTTCAGGAAGAAAAATTCCTATCAACATATGTCCGGAGTTGCTTCGTTTCTGAGATACAAGGCGTTTAAATTAAAGAAGAAAAAAAAACGATTATTATAAAATATCATGAATATCCTGGAACCGTTTTGGTTGAAATTTTATACTTTTATTTGAACTAATGAGGCGCTTATTTAGCCCTATTTAGATTGAAATTATTGGGGCCAGTGGCGTCTCTGTGGGTACCACACAGCCAACAATATTGAAAAAAAAAAGTATGCCACTGACTTGTTTTGGTGAAATTTCATTTTTTTCAGATTGAACAACTCAAAATTCAACTTCTTGGTCTCTTGTATTTTCTTCACATCCAGCTTCGTTTTCGAGAAAAAAAAAATTGAAGCCATTGTATTGCATATCATGAACACCTGCATTGGAGAAATGAGTTTTTCATTATTTCCGCCAAAAATATTCTGAAATATGCTGAAATTTCAGAAAATTTGGCAAATAAAAGTACCAAATTTCAACCAAATCAGTTCCAGGATATTCATGATATTTTATGATTACCGTTTTGCTTTCTGTAATTTTATCTCAGAAACGAAGCAACTCCGGACATATGTTCATGAAAACTTTTCTTCTTAAAATGAACTAACAAATTACTCCCTGCAGTTAGGAACCATAGTTAGGAAACACCCTGTATATATATATAGTGTGTCCCGCTTTAAGTGTAGCCACTATCGTATAATGTTCTCCTAATGCAAACCTATCATATGGTATGCGAATTGTGATCAGGATTTCAATAGTGAAAACTAAACTACGATATACGAGTGATTACACTCGAAGGGGGACACACTGTATATAAATATGTATGAATCCATGATAATAGTGTATAAAAATCTATAAAAAATCATTTTTTCATAAGAATCTATGAACACATCTGTTTGACAAAGTACCTTCACTTATATATCCATATGCTTAAAATTAATTATTTTGATCTATTATCACAAGAATCGTTTAGAAAATAAAAGAAACTTTAGGTCCTAGCACTGGCTTTACCAGATATTCATCATGAACATTTCATAAAAATACGCATTTTTTTTGGGCATGCATCATAACCTGAAAATCGGTTTTGACATAAGTCAGGTTAGGTTGGGTTGAGTTCATGAAATCGCATGAAGTGGGCTTAGACGCCATGATATTTAATTGCAATGTTTCAATCGGTTCACAATTACCAGAGATCTTATTCCTACTAAGTAGCTTGGATTTTTTCAAATTTCTCTCAATATTATCTTGTCTGTATAACCTCACTTTCGCGACAATTTTTCTCTCAATTAACTGTCATCCGAGCAGTTACGTGTGACGTTTGTCAAAACCAGATTTTAGATTCTCCCTACACAATAACCACCCAGGAAAATTCAATTCATCAATAATGAACTGTGTAACGGACACTGAATATATTATATGGTTATCATCTGAATTTGGAAATTGTGTTAGAAGTATTTGGCAACATTCAAAGTCAAAATTTGGAACCTAATACCTCAAATAGTGCGATGATGTAAATATCACTGACCATTGGAAAGTATAACACATAATTATTTCCGTCATTTTTGTCAGAAAATGAGAAATGTCAAATTATTTATGAGAAGCACCTTTTTCAATAATTGCAAGTTTTGAGCGATTTCAACATATTTTCCAATATCTCGGGAAGTTAAAACGATTTGGCAACTTCTGATAAATGCCCTATTAGGGCACTTATTTCTAATTCGTTCCATATTATGTATCCGATACCAATATAATTCTTGGAAAGTTAGATTTTCAATTCCTAAAATAAAAATAATAATATGTGATAAGTGATACTATTTCCAGGAAAAATAGTATCAGGAGTTGTATTTTGTATTCCTATGACTATTTCATGATTGAGACAATAAACGAATGCCTCGCGAGAGTTGCACACACTGCATCCATCATTCTGGCATCCAACATAATTGACGTTTCTAATGTCACTGATAAAGGAGGTTGGTTGGCCACGTGTGCGTCAATTCGTCTTCTGTATTGGTAGAGCAAGTCCGATAATCTTTAGTGAACATAAAAATATCGCTGCAATACAGGAGAAACCGTAAAAATGGTCGATTCTGATTGGTTCTCGAGAACATGAGTGGAATAGTCAGTTCAAAACATTTTATCAATTTTCATTCACTCATAAAAAACTTGTACTACTACGTTTGCAACAACAGTCAAAATCCGAAGAAAACCAAACTTTCCTAGAATTAAACAGGAACAAAATGTGTTCTTGAAATATACAGACAAAAGAGGAGAACATCACTGAGAGTCCTCTTTTTGAATGAAGCCCGGAGTAAAACATTTTTCATAAATTTGAAAAAAAGCAATCATACTTTTGTGAGTCAATCGTATCAAACCCAAACTTTCTTGAATCAACTGAAGGAAAGAAGAACGCCTGACTCATACTCCACAAAAACCATGAAGAACTAAAGCGTGATATTTATTCTGAAGTGAAGAACTAACTTTTTATAATACGTGTCGTAAATCTTGTCTTTTTTCACACTTTGATGTGTTCAATGAGGGCTGACATATTATAATTGTCCACCAGATCACGCTGAGACGTGGAATCAAAGTTGGTAACTTTTACTTCTTGTTCCATTTGGCATCTTTCTACAATATCGTCTTCTATGCGTCAAGTTCCACATTGAGATAAAAAAACACAAGACTGATCAAATCTCACCAACTGGTGGAACACTCATGGAAATTTATCAATGGAACACTCTGTACATGAAAATCTAAACATTCACTGTAAGAGAATTATCCACAAATGAGTTAGAAGATGGCTTTAAAAAACTGCGATAGTTTAGTTGAATAACCTGTGATAACTACACCACTGCTCAAAATGAAAGAAACATAACCTTACTTGCCGTCGAAATACCAATGTGGAGTTTCAATGGTGAACTGTTTCACAATCCACGCACTGGCGAACCATAATAGACTATTGATAATTATTGTCTTCATATAGTTTTATAACAAGAAAACTCTGAAAATTGAATTGAAACACAAAAAGTCCTGAAATGGTAACAAACACAGCACAACACGTCAGTTTTTGACATACGAGAATGACTTCAAGAAAAATATGCGTCACTGGTAGTAAACACGCCGATACAGTTATGTCCATAATGCATTATAATCCGTAGAAATTTGTCATCATCGTTGGCTGCTGAAAACAATGCTGGATCAGATCAAAATGTGAACAATTTCGTCTCCTCTTTTTTTATATGCCTACGCTTCTGACGCAGGTGCTTTCAAGATTTTATCACGTTTTACCCAAGCTCTAGACGCACATCATGCTCCTGAAAGAGCCATAATCAAAAGGATAAGTGGGGGTAACCCAACCAGCCCCATACCCCTATCATTTTCACGAAAATCAACGTCATCTGTCCACAGATACCTCACATGGCAGTCTCCAGCGGTTGACTCTTGCTGCGGCTGGCGTCCGAGATGGGCTGATTGAAAACGGGACTGCCGCCCCCTGGCGGCGTGTAATCGAAGTTCGTCTCCAGCAACACCGCGCTCTTCGATCGGGTCTTCGGCTTGGGCACTGGCTCGTCGAAATCCGTCTCCAGAACGTTGTTTTCTTCCGGGGAGTAGCTGAAGTTGCTCGAGAACCCCGGAGAGTACCTATAGATTTTTATGGAAATTTTACACCAGATGCTTTATTTCGACATTGTTACTATATGGTAACCAGCAAATTTTTTGAAAATGTTCCATCCACATGAACATATAAACGTAAAACTATCAAGTGGAAATTTCCCGGCACGTGACAGCTATCATATAATAGGCGAGTGGATTAATTTTTGTTTATTTCTCAAAGAGTATCATGAGTCAAATATCTTTGAATTTCATAAGAACTTTTCGGTCGATTTTTAGGTGCTAAAATCATTTCACTAAAATAGTACAAGAATTAAAAGAGTGACAGGACGACCAACTTTGCTAAATTTTTCGCAGGTCGGTTGATTATTGTTATTACCTTTTCGGAGGCGTGGGCGGCTTATCGGGCAGTTTCTCGCGCAGCTCCTGCAGGAAGTTGAAGTTGCGCGCGGGGCGGTCGCTACGCATGGGCAGCGTGTCGTTGTCGCAGTACTCGCTGGGCGGGTACGACTCCTCCTTCTCCATGATGGGCGACTCCTCGGTGGAGTCGTCCTGCGTGCTCTCCGCCCTCGATTGGTAGTTGGAGTTGGTGGCAAAGGTGGAGTTGTCCCTGAGAGAGTGGGAGAAAAATATTCATTGTCTGAAGATGTCTCGTTGACGAAGTAAGAGTGAACAAATAAATGACACTAAAATAAAAAATAAACACTAGAACTAGAGGAGATCGTAGTAACACCAACATTTTGAAATCGATTCGAAATTTCGATACTCTTGAAAGCTAGTTGATGAGGGACAAATTACAACATATTGAAACATTCCTATTGAAAGAGATTTTATGGTTAAAATGTGACATTAAAAAACTCTTGTAAACTATAATCTGATGATCCTATTTTTCACTGAGAATGCGGATAATCTAAGCTTAACAAATCTCAATAATTTTAGCTAATCTATACATACATAATGTATAAAAATAAATGGTTGTGTATGTCCTTGTAAAAATCGTAAACGACCGATTATTTTTTATTTTGTTTGTTATTTTCAGGAGAAGGTTCTTATGAGACAAAATTTAGAAATTCAAGATTCTATTCTAAATTGGGGGTTTTTGAGGTCGGAGATTATAATTCTTTCCTCAAAATTTGAAAATTCATGATGGCGGATCCAATATGGCGTACGAGTTTTGTAATTATGATCCGCTTCTATTCAAAATTGGTATCTGGGGAATTTTTGAGTTGAATATCATGATTCTTCCTTCAAAATTTGAAAATTCAAGATGGCAGATCCAATATTGCGAACGACTTTAGTAATTAAGATCCGATTCAAAATTGGTATCTGGGAGTTTTCTGGTTCGGAGATAATGATTCTTCCGCCAAATTTTGGAAATTCAAGATGGCAGATCGCAGATCCAATACACGGCATAACAGTTTATCAATTATGATCCGATTCTCTTTGAAATTGGTATCTGGGGGTTTTCGGGGTCTGAGATTATGGATTCAAAATGTCGAACGAGCTTTGTAATGAATAGTGTTTCGAAAAACTAATAAAACACGCTTTCTTAGATAGCCAAACGAAAAAGAAGTCGAAAATAGAGAGTAGTTTAGAAAACTGAAGAGATAGATCACCGAATTGAAAAAAAGTGGAAAATAAATTGTAGTTTGGAAAACTATAAGAAAACACGCTTTAACCCATTGCATCATACTGGTCATGCTAGATAACCACATAACAAATAATTCATCGGCGCTCTACTAGTGGTTCTGTAGCATAACCACCGTTTATACACGATACTAATACAGCCACCTATGAACTGAATTGATAACTGCGGCATTGTTTTAACTTACTAACGATGGCGTTAGTAGGTTTTGGGATCTGATGAGTATACGTAGTCCTACTGGTCACTTGCGGCAACCTCCTGGTCACTTTTGGGGCAACCACTTTTTTGAAAAAAAAAAAGTACGATTCAGATTTTTTCTTATATTCCTCATTGTTTTTATGATGTTTCTGGTCACATAACTTATTTTCAGAAAATAAAATCTCAAAAAACACTAATTCCGGACCCAAAGGGTTAATGGTTAGTCGATAAACTAAACAGAAGTCGAAAATAAAATAATAAAAGTGTGTTGTTGAATATTCAACTGATAAAATATCTTCTAGAAATAATGAACATAGCAAAACAACGTTAGACGGGTCAGCTATAATCAATAAAATGACTCGAAATAAATTCAATATTTGTGTACTGTCTCTCCTTCAAATTTCTTTAAGTGAGTAGCGCAGGGTAAAGCTAGTGTAGGAATAAGAAATAGGTCTATAATTTGTTGGATTATCAAGGTCACAACTTATCTGCAAAGGAATAACTAACCTGAAGCCCTCGTTTCGGAAGGCCAAATCGCCATCAGGTCTGGCGTATTGTCTGGCTGGGGACTTGTGGTATTCGATGGTGGGGGTGAAGGAGAACGAGGAGGGGTTGGGGTGGGGGTTGTTCGTCTCGTAGACTTCGTAGGACTGGTTGTCGTCTATCGAGGAGCTGTATGCGGACTTTTCCATGCTGTCTAGGGAACCGTTGGTGATCATTTTCTTGGTTAGGGTGTCTGTAGACCGGGTGCTCTGGAACAATGAAATTAACGTGAGCTTTACTGCTTCATCAATGACTTCACCATTCAGAATGGTTCAATCAAAAGCCAAAAGAGGAATTATGTTAGTGCAAAAAACAAAAATAATGCTACATTTACGGAGAAATCAATAGTAAATTGACGATATATTGACATAAATACCCCCCTGGTGGTTTCAAATTATTGAACAAAGAGGGCTCCACGTAATATTTCAACTTGTTCACCGAATTTTAGACTGTCTTGCATACACTTGCATTCAGATTTCGAACCAAGAATAACATTTTATCTATTTCATTGACTCAATTTTTTTTACTGTGAATGGCGCTAGTAAACTGAAAACATCGAGAGCTCATATGTTTCAATAGAATGTTTGTCAAAATGGGCAATTTTAGATTGAAGTTTTCAAACGCCACCTCAGAAAAATAGAAATTTTGATTTGATTGTCTAATTTCAAATTTGTTGGTTATTGATTTGATTGATTTTGGTGTTCCATTTTGCACTTCTACAAAATGCGGAGATATGTGAATTCTTCAACACTATCCTTTCTTATCGATGACGTGAATTTGAAGTGCGAAAAGTAATGTTTCCATTTCAATTTTATCATTGCATGTACAACAGTTTCTTCTTCAAGCATTCTTCTTCCCTCAGTTGTGTAAGACGTACAGGGTGATTCACCATAAATGTCCCCCCCTCTAGCTCACTTATTTTTGAACCGTTTTGAAAATTTGAAAGATAATCTGAAATGATTTTTCAGAAATTTTTTCCCGTTGCATCAGAAAATACAGGGTGCTCGGAACAAACGACCTACAGAGTACTAATTGATTTTTTAAAATGGAACACCCTGTATTTTATTGTATTTTTAGATTCTTCCTGAAGAGCTGATTTCATCAATGTATCACACTTGGGGTTTAGCGGGAATGATTACAGAGATATAGGGTGTTCAAAATCAAGATTTTTCAACTTTAGGATTTTTTTGTGCCGAAACTATTAATTATTGGTCAAAACGGCTGCTATGTTCCTATCTCAACTTTCGATTTACTATCTAGTGAAATTTAATTGGAACATTTACAGGGTGGTTCAAGATTCAGAATTCTGGTCACCCTGTATCTGTTCCAATTATTAAATGTCAGTAGATAGTAAATCAAAAGTTAATATACGGACATGAAAACCGCATGACCGATAATGAATAGTTTCGTCACAAAAAAATCCTAAAGTTAAAAATCTCGATGTTGAACACCCTATATCTCTGTAATCAGTCCCGCTAGACCCCAAGTGTGATACATTGATCAAATCAGCTCTTCAGGGAGAATCTAAAAATACAATGAAAAATAGGGTGTTCCATTTAAAAAAATCAAATAGTACCCTGTAGATCGTTTGTTCCGAGCACCCTGTATTTCCTGATCTAGTGGAAAAAAACTTTATCGAAAATCATTCAAGATGATATTTCAAATTTTGAAATCGGTTCAAAAATAACTGAGCTAGAGGGGGGGACATTTATGGTGAATCACCCTGTACTTGAAATGTTTATACATGAAACATTTTTCATTATAACCTTGACACAATTAATCAATCCAGAATTACGTCATTTGACAGGTCGTTGGAGGGCAAACATTGTATTATGTCATATGAAACCAGATGGGTTCGTTTTCTTGGGAACTCGAGTTGGCACGTTGGCACCCAAATGAATTTCATGATTTTGTTCGGTGAATCTGTTATTTTATTCTGGATGTGGGCAGGGCTATGCTAATCAAAAGTATCCTAACAGATAGTATGTGTGTCCTCCAAGGAACCGTGTAAAAATCACGTGTTCTTGAATGGTAAATAGTGGATCTTGACAGTAATTTGAAAAAAAAATACAAAAAACCCCAAAATATTCAGGAAGGGTATTAAAGACTTCCTCATTCCAAAGGCATATTATAACCTGCAGGAATTTTATGATGACAAATTTCAGATCAGGAATAACCGTATGTGATATTATATTAAGAGTACTTATATATTCATTCAGTTATATCTATTGTTAGCTATATTATATATGTATGTATCTGTAATTGTTTTTGTTTATGCATTGTTTTTGTGTGTCATATACGAATTTTAATTGATAACTTCCTATACATTATGTATAGTTATACCTATTTTATTTTGTACTGTACTGTGATAAAAAGTATTTTTTTTTTTTTTTTTTTTTTGACGAAATGGATCGTTCCACTACATGTATCTTTCAAGCTTTGTCAATAAGAAAAATGTTCTTGGACAATAAAGCACAGATTGATTGATTGATTGATTGAAATGTACAGGGAACGGATAACCAATGAATAACTTAGTATTAGACTTAGAGGTTACTTACTTCCTGAAAAATTGGTCGATAAGAGCGATTTCCGCTTGTTTTTTTCAATGAACAGACAATATTATACCTCTCCCCTACTAACTCGGTTTTAATCCAAAACGACAATGACCAAGACAACCCGGAAATAAAATTCAAGGACAACTTAGACATAGTTTATTTCGGAATTTACAATTTTGTATCGCCTTTGTTGAGCTCAGCCAGAATGTTATCCAAAGAATAATTGATGAGCTTATCGTGCATATCGGGCGTGAGAGACTTCATAACAGCACTTTGGACGTATTCCACCAAGTTCTTATGATGTATCCTCTGCCTAACCAACTCGACCTCCACCTGGTAATCCAACTTCTTCTTCACCTCCTCATAAACGTGCATCTGTCTTTTGCGAAAATCCTCCTCCAACTGCAGCTTCACGTTCTCCCTCTTGGCGTCCATCAGCAATTGCTGCCCCTCAGCTTGGAACTGCACCAGCAGCTCATTCTGGATTTGCTCTTCCAGAACTTCCACAGCCTGCTTGCGCTCCTTCTTCCAGCTGTTCTCGTAGTCCATGACTTCTTGGTCCAAATAGATGACCAAGTGTGGTCCGACGTATTTGATGCAAGCCCATATCATAATGATTATGGAGAGGCCTCCGTAGTAGTTGTGTTCCAAGACGTACCATTCTTTGCTCACCAGGAACGTGGTGACGGTGAATATGAAGGTGTAAAAGCCTGTCACCCCGGTTTTCGGTTCGAAAAATTTGAACCACTCTATCGGTACGCAGGCGTACAGAACTTCGCCCGGTTCACCGCGTACTCTTCTATTGGATGAGGCTGGTGAAGCATCGGCCGGAGTAGGAAGAGAGATTGTTTGTGGCTTTCGAGATGCTTCTTTAGGCGATGTTTTACTGCCCTTTTCTGGAACCAGGTCATCTAGACCCGACTTGTTTGAATCCACGAAAAGATTAACGCTGAGGCCTGTAGCTGTCAAGAATATTTTCTTGTTGTGGAGTTTGTTATATTCTCTGGACAATCGGCTTTTTATCGATGCGTCGCGTTCTTTTTCTGTGACAACGCAAATTTCTTCTTCGTTCTGGACCTCAAGTGTATGCTCTTGCTTAGGATTCAGGAGTTTGGTTACGTTGACAGCTTTTTTGGATTTGTTTTCATCAGAGCTTCCGGTAATCTTGCCTACTTTCACTGGTTTCTTGGTAGAACATGTTCTACAAGATTTCGCGAGGTTGAAGATCGGTTTCAAGCATTTCGAATAACTCAGGTTTGACATTTTCATCGAGATTGTCAAGTCTGACAGGAAAGTAGAATTGGTACGAGGTGTTTTCTATCTACCGGTTTCAGAAATGTAAATAATGAGGAAATAGTTATTCACATCACAAAACTGGAAAGTAGTACTTTTTCGCAAGAGTTAGGTACAATGTTGGTAATTTTTTACTTAGAGGGCATTGTCGAATTTTTTCAAAATTTTTGCCAGTACTTACGTATTTTGGGGTGTAGAATACGAATCTGAAAACCAAAAAGCTGGGAAACCAATACTTTTCGAGATATTTGCAAAATAAGTCATTTTGTTCATCATTTTTCAGCGTCTTTTAGCAACATTCCTCAAGCGGTATAATTCTCTATCTTCTTTCTTTCGTTGTTGATTGATGAATTATGTATTTCTCAATTCATTTTATTTGGGTATTTTAACAATGAAAGCATTTCATTTGCTATTTACCTTGTTAATTTTATGTATGTGTTTTTTTATGATTAAAAGATGCATCAAACGTGAACGTGACACTTGACAGACATGATAAATTGACAGACAATAACAAGCAATGTTGCCAGATCTTGTTTTTTCCCGTAATAGGAATAGAAAACAATATAGGGAGGGTATTCCAACCATATTCTTTCCAATGTGTGTTTGAAAAATGAGATCTACTTAACCCGAACAAACTAACCTAACTATAGAGCTCGGATTACGATAGACGTTGCGGTTACGATAGAACTGCGGTTACTATAGAGCTCGGATAACGTAACCGCAGCGTCTATCGGAACCGCAGCGTTTATCGCAACCGCAGCGTTTATCGTAACCGCAGCGTCTATCGTAACCGCAACGTCTATCGTAATCCGAGCTCTATAGTTAGGTTAGTTTGTTCGGGTTAAGTAGATCTCATTTTTCAAACACACATTGGAAAGAATATGGTTGGAATACCCTCCCTATATTGTTTTCTATTCCATTCAATGAAAGAATTTTCAATTTTTTTAATCACACTAAAACTATGTATAGAAATTAAATTTAAATTAATTTAACTTAATTTATTTCATGTTTATTTCTGAGAATCGTCTAGAAAGAAAATAAGCGTTAAACGGACGAGCTATGGCAACATTGCCATCATCTTTCTTTGTTGTTTGTTGATCAAACAATTGACATTGATTTTTTTGGTGCTGTTAGCTGTCATAGTTGTTATTTTTTTGTGAATAGGTGCTAGGAAAATAACTAACAGTATTAAGTTTTTGCAATATCCATTAATTTTTCAAAGAAAATACCCTAAATTTGGTAATTTATTTCCCATTAACATATGCACGGAGTGCGTATACACCAGACATGCCAGTACCTATTGCCAGTGATGAGCCGCCAAACAACAGCAAAACAGTGATGATAAAGATTTTGTTTTGCAAATATCTCGAAAAGTATTGGTTTCCCAGCTTTTTGGTTTTCAGATTCGTATTCTACACCCCAAAATACGTAAGTACTGGCAAAAATTTTGAAAAAATTCGACAATGCCCTCTAAGTAAAAAATTACCACAATGTTCTTCCCAGCAGTGTTTTTGTCCATATTATTTATAATATTGGTAAAAGTGCACTTATCATGCGATGGGTTTTTTTTTCGAAATTTTTTTTTGGTACTTACGTATTTTCGTCTGAAAAACACGAATTTCATAATGAAAATGTGAACAAACCACTATTTATCGAGATATTTCAAGAAAAAGTTCGAAATTATGCCTTCTTTTCCCCCTTGTGTTGGATGCATTTACAGGTACTTGCTCTTATTATTTTGTCATTGGACACTTTATATACTCATGATGTACTTCACTGACACATTTTAAGATAGAAAATTCAACAGGAAATATGATTTTTATGGCGAGTTTTTCCTATTTAGTGAGCAAGCATACCAGATGACGGCCATTTAATCCATATGCAATCCAAATACGAGATGTCAAATGTCAATAGATTGCTTTGGAATGACATTACACACGCCATTATTTCAAATGATATTCTTCCTTCTTTTCACTAAACATGGATAAATCACAAGGAAATCATATTTCTAGTTGACTCATATAATAAAAAAAATGTGTCCAACATTGTGTGATATATATAAATTGTCCAATGATGGAAAAAGAAGGACAAATTGTTCTAAATGTGATCCAGAAGACAGGCGGAAAAGATGGTGAAATCTGTAACTTTATAGTGAAATATCTTAATAAATAATGGTTTGTTCACATTTTCATTATGAAATTCGTGTTTCTCAGACGAAAATACGTAAGTACCAAAAAAAATTTTCGAAAAAAACCCCATCGCATGATAAGTGCACTTTTACCATAATATTAATAAACAATATTTTATATAATGCTACAAAATGACACATAAGAATAGTTACATAGACCATTTAGTCAGTCCTAACTTTTGAGCACTAGTGCGGTTAGGTAATATTTCCGCACGCTCGTAGGTAAGTTATTTACCTACCAAGTGCGGAAAGTAGTACTTTTCCGCGAGAGTTAGGTACAATGTTTTTCATACGAGTGTTTCTGTCCATATTATTCATAAAAAAAGGTTTTTAATAAACAAGAATTTATAATTATGCAACAAAATGACATATAAGACAGAATAGTTACATAGAACATTTAGTTAGTACTGAATATTCTCACCTTCAACAATACAAAAATCGTGCGGAAAAGTTACATTTCAGCACTAGTGCGGTAATAGATTTTTATGCTACGAATATCGTAAAACCTACTACCAAAAAACGCTAATTATTCAATCGAAAATAATTAATACTCCTTGAACTGACGATTCCTTGAGAATATGTAACAAGCAAGCGTTGCAAGGGTTGGGCGTATACCTAAACTATTGTGTTCTCGGTTGTCACTCATTCTGCACACTGTCAACATTTCAATTTGAGATAAAATTTCATCAACATGAATTCCGATCACGAAAGTATAGATTCAGATATAGAAATTGCGGCAAATGAGGAATTTGAACTTTACCCGCTATACTGATGATCCGTTAGTTCTCATTTCTCTTTTCAATATACAAGTGAGATTCGGGATTATTATTTTACTTTACCGCACTAGTGCTGTAAAATTTTTTCTTTGAGCATGCCAATATGCTTGTCTCATGATAACTTTTCATCAATCCAAATTTGGTATAGGCAGTTTGTTTCAATATTTCATTTTTTATTCTAATATTCAAATCAATATTTTGTTTATTTTTTTTGATGGAAAATTATATATTGGGTCTTATTAGAATTAAGAGAAAGAAGATTGGAGTATAGCCATCCTTCCATTTTTTTCAAATCGTCATTTATGTTGTTTTCTAAAATTACAGCGTTTTTGTTTTCAAATAAAAGTACTGTGTCATCTGCATATATGGCATAGTTTCCTATTAAATTCATTTTTGAAATGTTTTGAATGTATAACACTGATCCTTGGGGAACTCCTTTGTTTATATATAGCTTGTTATTAACTGATTTGTACTGTCTGAGCTATCACTCACCATTTGTGTCGGCTTTCTTCTGTACCCCGGATCAGCGAAACTGCTCTGAGACGCCCCTATCGATCTCAGCGAGTGCAGGCTCTGTCTGATGCTGTTCCTCCTCTCCAAGCGCTGCGCTTGCCTGAATTTGGATTTGCTCCACCAGCACACCGCCAAAATTATTATCAGCAACACAGCTAAAGCTATGCTACTTATCACAGATATGGTAACGATATCGTCCGCCAGAGGAAGGATCCTGATTTGTACCTTAGGATCTAGAAGATAACGAAAAAATAATCTAGAAACTCGTTTGGATGTTAGTGTATACGTTATCGTAACACTTTACATGTTTGACCAATATAAGTGTACGGCCAAAACTCTGAATACATTCTATATCCTACTACTACTTTCTTCATCTAGAATCAACATAACCTATGAAGCGTTTTGTAAAAATGACTATTCTATCAATCTTGAGGCGCTCAATGATTTTAGCTTTTTACAATCATTGATGAGCTGATAAGTGAAAGCTTCTCAATATTTGATGATTTGGTTAGGTTGGCAATGAATTTTTGACTTCTCACAAAAAATATAAATAAATTATCATCAAGCCGTGGCAATAAACCGAAAATCAAAATCAGTTTGAGAATATTTGAAGGACTCGAAACTTTGATAATTTTTTCTTGACAATCTGACGAGTCCTCTTACTTTTCTAAAAGACAATTTCTTTCATTGATTCAAGGATTTCAAATGAATTGTTTTGCAGGAAAAACATAACTTTTGCACTTTATATCATTCACAGCATCATATCAGAATATTCATCCTAGTCGAAATCTAGAATCACAAATCAAAAATGATTTTGAAAATGATGAACGGGAGAAATAGAAAGATTTGTTTTATTCAAACAGTGAATATCACGAATAAAAAATGAATTTGAGAAGAAAAAAAATTTCAGTGATTCTATAAGTAGATTTTTTAGCTGCTAGCATTATCACTCAATCATGATAGCAGAAGAGAAAGGCTTTTTTGAGATCATATTCTGGAAATTCTTGTATAAATCATCAAATTTAGTATTTTTGTGAACTCTCTCCCAAATTCAGTATGTCATTTTAATGTCACGTGAGAGACTTTTTTGAAATCATATTTCTGCAAATCATAAAACTCAGTATTTTTTGTGTATGCATTCCCCAGTCTAGTACGCGTTTTTTCTGGAAAGTATCATTATTCATTCATTTATTCATTCATTGAATTAAATAAAATCTACATTTTGTCATCGAATATCAATTACATGTATATATATTTCATTTTGTATCTCCTTCACATAGGTTAGTGACCTGTGTGTGAAAGAGATGAAGTATTTCACATTTAAAACTGTTTTTCCATAATATAAACCCTCAAACTGAAAACAAATAATCTATTCATACAATGATAAATCGAGATGATGAAAATAGAGTTGATTAAAAAAGATCATCGATTTTTTTCGCATTTTCTATAATCCAAGTTTTAACCTTCTTTTTTGAAAGTTATGATATTTAGGCGATTTAATTTTGATAATATTCTTTTATAAGAGATGAAGTATTTTACATTTAAAACTGTTTTTCCATAATATAAACCCTCAAACTGAAAACAAATAATCTATTCATACAATGATAAATCGAGATGATGAAAATAGAGTTGATTAAAAAAGATCATCGATTTTTTTCGCATTTTCTATAATCCAAGTTTTAACCTTCTTTTTTGAAAGTTATGATATTTAGGCGATTTAATTTTGATAATATTCTTTTATAAGAGATGAAGTATTTTACATTTAAAACTGTTTTTCCATAATATAAACCCTCAAACTGAAAACAAATAATCTATTCATACAATGATAAATCGAGATGATGAAAATAGAGTTGATTAAAAAAGATCATCGATTTTTTTCGCATTTTCTATAATCCAAGTTTTAACCTTCTTTTTTGAAAGTTATGATATTTAGGCGATTTAATTTTGATAATATTCTTTTATAAGAGATGAAGTATTTTACATTTAAAACTGTTTTTCCATAATATAAACCCTCAAACTGAAAACAAATAATCTATTCATACAATGATAAATCGAGATGATGAAAATAGAGTTGATTAAAAAAGATCATCGATTTTTTTCGCATTTTCTATAATCCAAGTTTCAACCTTCTTTTTTGAAAGTTATGATATTTAGGCGATTTAATTTTGATAATATTCTTTTATAAATTTAACTTCACGGCCAATTCTTAGATTGACTTAGAAGAAGATATCGTAGGAAGAGGCCGAATGACACGAAAAGAAGAAGTATATTTATCAGTTCTTCCAACTCTGGCCTCACGTTTCAGAGGCGCTATGTCGTGGACAATAAATAATGATAGCCCTCATTAAAAAAGAAAAAACGAATATTAAGAAATTATTTCAAAATTTTCGAGAATTTTCTGAATTTTTGCGTTTCCCGTGAACAGACCCCAATAAAAACCTTACCTATTTCACAAATGAAGGGGTTGAGCCTCTGGCAATCCTGAACCTCCACCGATTGATAGGCGAAAGCGGTACACTCGTTGATCCTATCGATATGTTGAACCCACACTTTGTCAGAATACAAAAACCATTGGTCCTGCTTTCGCAGAAACTCGTACAGCGGCAGATAGTTGATGTTGCCCAACAGATATGGGACAGACGCATTGTCCGCCTGAAAACGAACAAGAGAATACATTGAACTGTTCTTGCTATTTTTCTTACAACTGTAAAAAAAGAGGACAACCTCCTTCAACTTATATCACCACGGTCCGAATCGCACTTAAATCGCTTTGAGCGCGTTATCATTGGTCCGGTTAACGCCTAGAACGCTTGTATATTCACCGTGAGTCATTAGGACGTCATGGATTACGTCACTCCTCGTTCTCAGAGTGCTCACAGTTCAGAGGTGGAGCAGTCTAAGCGTGAAGATCAGGAAAAAAGTTTTAATATAAGTACTGTTTTACAGAATACAGAGATAACTTTCTCTAAATAATGTTCGAAACGAGGTTTTAAAATCAATTAATAATTGAATTGAACGAAGGCGTTATATTATTCAACTGCTGCATCAGCTTCCTCATCATGAGAGAAATTTTCAGCAAAGTTTCTCCATTTTGGCATGGACTATGATTTTTATTGGTCAAGAAATAAATTGTCATGTGAGATTATGTAATGTAACGGATGTCATGTCATAAGATGTCGTCAAAGCGTGAGAACCAATTTGGACCAGCAGTGTCTAACACTAGCGCGCTCTAAAGCTAAACGATAAGCTATCAATTCGGACCGCGGGGCATGTAAATGATTAAATGATATTTCGCAATTATTATCGAGTAAGAATTGTTGATATTTCAGAAGAGCATCGTCCATGAAAATATCTATAAAATTGAGCCAGATCGCCAACTTTCCTACGGTGTTCCAGAGAAGTGAGTGAGTTTGTGAGCGAGAAATCACCCACGAGACGAATTGCCCGTTCTTAGACAGAATCCAACTGTTTCAGGGTATGTTTGGGTGCTGCACTCCAAATATGGAAACAGTATTCCAGGATAGGTCGGATCTGTGCCTTATAGATCATAAGCAACTGACTGGAAGTGAAATAGCTCCTGGCCCGAAACAGAAAACCAAGTTTTTGGGATGCACTTTTAGCAATTGATCTCACGTGATTTTCTCAAGAAAGGTTATTGCTGACAGTAATGCCAAGCATCGAAATGGATGTCTTCAAAGGTATGGTTACTCCTGACAAGCTTATGTTGGGCACAGTGAGATCGGCCTTTCTAGAGAAAAGGCATGCTTGTGTTTTGTTTGCATCGAAATCTACCAAGTTATTGTATCCCCATCCGAGAATTGTTGCCAAGTCCATATTTATGTTGTCAACATTTCTTCCTCGTTCGTTTCTGATTTGGCTGGCTGGTATTAGAGACCTGGAAGAGAAGGCGGTATGGAGGGTACTATCATCCACGAAGTAGTGTACCTACTGGACATGAAGTTGCTTCCAACAAATCGTTGATATGGAGTATAAATAGTGTTGGTGCTAGAATTGATCCTTGCGGAACACCAGCATTTATGATAAGAGAGTCAGATGAAACTCCGTCGACCACTACATGGAGAAACCTGTTTGAGAGAAAACTAACTAGCAGAGAACATAGCTGGGGAGGCAATAAGCCATAAGATGGAAGCTTGGTGAGGAGTCCGTGGTGCCAGACTCGATCGAATGCCTTGGAGATATCAAGTGCCACGGCTAAGGTTTCACCATATTTTTCAATAGATTGCTGCCATATATGTGAGACGTAAGTGAGCAGGTCACCAGTTGATCTCTGATGACGGAAGCCATATTGCCTATCGTTGATGATACCTGAATGTTCCAGGTATTTCATGAGCTCGATGTTGATAGCTTTATCCATGATCTTTGAAATAATAGATAGCAGTGCGATCGGTGTGTAGTTGCTAGGTATGGTCTCTTTGCCTTTTTTAGGAACTGGTTGTACTCTGGCAATTTTCCAGTTGTACGGGAGTATCCCCAATTTGTAAGAGTAGGGGGGGGCCAGGTAGCCGTGCGGACAGAGTGTCTATATTCTAATTCGCATTCGCTTGCCGGTCGTGGGTTCGATTCCCGTCGACTGCAGAAATTTTTCTGATGGCCCTAGAAAGTGTTTGGGATCACACGTTAAAAGGTAAGGCCCCCGTCATTCCTTGCTCGCACAAGACTTTCGAAGACTTCTGAGGGTTGCTCGTAAGGGGGCAATCGAATGACGGATAGAACAATTTTAGAACAATTTTTAGAACAACTTGCAGAGAACAGGTGTGAGTTCATCATTACATTGATATTTAGTCCGAGGACTCACCTGACAGAACGCCTTGGCCTCCCAGAACGTCATCGGCGCTCCCACGTACATGTAGCAAGTCTCCCCGACCAGCGCCCACCCAGGCGGGCATTTCCCGTCCAATATGCTGCCGTTGTTCATGTAAAACGGCTCGAAGAGCACCTCCAGCAAGCGCGGGTCGTCGCTCTGGTCCCTGATCCGCCCTCTGACGGCCAAGGTCACGTTGCTGCCCCAATAGTTGTTCGCAGCGTCGATCTTTGTGTTCCAAAGTTGGAGGGTGCTGGGTGAAATAAAATAGAATAGAATAGAATTTATTCACATCGCCAAAGCTATCACCATCGATGGATATACACACATGGCAGAAATAATTTTCCTATAGCGAAACCGTGTGCATTCTGTGCATAGGCATTTCAAATAACAAAGTTTCTGAAGTCTACGGACTTAAGAAAAAATTGTTTATTTGAATTAACGAATCTAAGCAATTTTTTCAGTGCTAAACACAACGATTCACCACACCCACCATCCACGTGTGAATTATACTTTCATCCCACTAACTACATGAATATTTTCCTTCTCATATTTTTTCTATGATGCCAAGAAGCAATAGAGCATCCAGATTATACTGTATATTAAATCTAACTACAACTGAAGCGTTATCACAAAATTATTAGAAAATAATTTGCAATCGGGAAGTTACAGGTACTAGAAAAAATACAGAAATGCCTCTACACCACCAAAACCACAGCAAAAACAAAACACCAACGATATAAAAAAGGTTTGACAGAAGAAACGACACAAAAATCATTTTACTAGTCTTACCTGTTGAATTCGAATCTGCATGCACCATGCAACAAAAAAATGAATTAATACAGTTCAATTACAATAATCTATCAATACTTTATACTTTGCAATTGGAATTGATCCCTACAAACGACAAACTACTTTCATTCTTTTCTTTTGTAATTTTTGAAAAGAAGTTCTTTTGATCAAATGAGTTCATCCTAGTATTTGTTCTTTGGGCTCAGCCATATTTATTAAATTGTGTCTATAGAAATTTGAATTACCAGCGAAATTTTTAATACTTACAAAGATCGGTTGACAGTGATCATTTCATAATCATTATCAGGATCCCAGAAAATGTTATCCACATAGTGTTGACCAGCGGTACCAGCAATGACAGTCGATCTACTATCCCTATTCACAGCGAAATTGCTGAAATAATGAAAAAAAAAAAAAGAATAATAATACTTATATTGTGAATATTTTCTTTATTTCTTTTTAGATGTTGATGAAATCGAAATCTCATTGAGAAAAATTTCAAAATTCAATAAGCAACTTACTCATTTTGATAATTTTCATTTTGAAAATGATATTATTAACAGGAAAAAGAAATAAGCGAACATAACTGTTTTTGCAAAATATTTGAAGAAGAATATACCCATATTTTGAGGAAAATTATCTTATTTGTCCTTACTAGGAATACGTTCATAGAAATAAAAAGAGAATAGCTTGAAGAAATGAATAGTTCAAATTACCCAATAATAAAAAATGGTTTGTTGCCTCACAAAAAATATCACAACTATCATCAACTCACTTGTAGAAACCATTATGTGTTGTAGTCTGGTAGATATTCAGCCTAACTTTGTCGAATCCAGAAACTTCCAAATTCTGCAGACCAATATTCCTCTTGACGTAATTATAAGTGAAATTAGACACCACCTGTCTCAGGATGATATTATTCTGGTAAAGAGCATAGTTCCTCGTGAAATAATTCCGATATATCGTCACTTCTTGATACGGTGATGATTTTCTTCCTTCCACGTATAAAACTGGCAAGTTCGAATTGTTAACAAACAGATTGTTGTGGACAAAAGCCCTCAAAGATGTCGCAGCTCCCCGAGAGTCTGCTTTGATATAAAGTCCGCCTTGATTTTGTTCCACCAAATTACTCTGAAATAGGAAAAAATACTTTCTTGAGACGAAAAATATTCTGCAAGGAATAGAGAAGTTCAGCTAACTTTGAGAGAAAAATAATTATGTCTTTATATGTCTTCCCCATCTGCCCTTTGTCTTCAGTGTTCCAACGTAAAGTAATAAAAATCTTATGTTTCCAACACTGAAAATGAGAAGAAATAGAGAAGAAGACCATTCTAACCTTTTTTATATTGAGGTTAACAAGATCATCTTTTCCATTTTTTCTCATTTTCAGTGTTTCCAAGATGAAATTTTCATCATTTCACGTTACAACACCGAAGACAAGGACAGATGGGGATGACATAATTTCTCTCTCTCTCTCAAAGGTAGCTGAACTTCTCTATCGGGGTAAGATTATGTCAATCTTGACTTACCCTGAAGTATATAGACTGAGTGTTTTGTACGTCAATTTCTACTGCCGATTTGCAAGTTGTGAAATTTCCGTACAGCTTCCTACAGTTGTTTTTGAATTGATTTTTCTCGATAGTTACAGTCGGATTGACCTCACCGGAAGCCATGTAGAGTATAGCGCTCTGACCATTGTTGTTAACTATAGATCTGGTTATGTTGTGTTGAACGTCTCTGTCTGAAAAAAAATATTCCATTAACCAGTTATTATAACCTAAATAATACAAAGATCTAATATCTTAGTGAACTAGGATGGAAGGCAGCACTGTTTATGACCCAACAGGTCTCATCAGTCTCATCAGCCATCTGGTGTCTCGAAGTCGACAGTTTTGAAAAGGAGAATATGAAGGAAAATATTAGGCTGAATATATAGATGAACTCAACGATTCTCTTCCAATCATTTCTCGGTTTTCCGAGGTTGAGAAGACTTTAGGTCTGTATAGCAATAGACAAAAATCAACTTAAGTAGGTTGAGCAACACATATCAACATGTTGGGTTACTTGTAGATGATAAGTCTTTTCATGTCAGTGATGGACGTTCATCACTATCACTTTATGTCATAACGGGTTAATCATGCAAGAAATCGTTAGAAAAATGCCAAAACCGTCAAAAATGTATCTGTAAAGGACAGTTCACTCATTACACAATTTATTAACTCATACTTGACGGTACTATATTGTCTCATCTTCACAGACATAGCAGCAGCTTCTTTTTTTTATCGCTTGGAGCGCACGAAAGGGAATCCCTACAATGTTCAAAGAACATCGTGCGTTCCTAGGGAGGATAGGGATAGGAGGTGGGTATTGGAATTTTTTTGTGATTATAGAACGCCACAGACCACTTGACATATAAATAAACTACAGCTGACGTCACGTCGTTGTCACCTAGGTGTTTACATTACAGTGTAGGGATTGTACCATCCTTATCCATTGAAAACCGTAACCTGATATAAGAGCTCACGAATCACGAGATAAAAGAATGTTCTGTTTGGCCACGGTTGGTTTTCAAAATAAAGAAAATCTCAACTATGAATATTTTTAATCTCAGAACTGCGGTAAGTCGGTGTGACCTATACTCGAATTCATTCATCAAAGTGAACAACATTGGAGGAGAATGAAATATTGATATCATTTGACGTACCATCAAAAATTACTATTTCCTAGTATTCCAAACATAGAAACAATAACGAACTTACAAGAACTAGAAAAGAAATGCAATCTTGATGATTTCCTGACTACGTTGAATTCTCGGTTTGATTCAATCAAATTCAGCTTAGAGAAAAGAATCAACGGTAGATTTCCACTATTAGATACACTAGTAGTCACTCAAAATTAGTGCTTTCCATCATCAAATTATTATATATTTAAAAATGACAAAAACTCAATTAGAATTTTATATTTATAGGAAATAACGACCATAATATCCATAACAAGTGATTGGCAACAATGTTTAGAGCAGTGGTTCTCAAACGTATTCTGTCCACCGCCCACTTTGAGGATGAAAATTTGTGTAGCGCCCCCCAAAACTGTTTGATAATAATAATAAATTCTCTAAGATAGGACCAACTTAGAGAACTTTCGCACAAAATGAGCCCAAAAACAATAAAATCTGTTAAGTGGTTCCCGAGAAATTAGCGAACATACAAAAAAAAAGGCCCACGACGAATATTTATAGACCCTCTTTAACTCGATTATCAAAGATATATAAGTTTAGGACATTATGCTGACTTTATCTTATTTCTATGCTAAAATCCTCTGAAAGGAATAAATAAACAAGGAAAGAAAGCTTTGAAGTTAACACTTATTTCTCATCTCATTCAGGAGCCCCCTTTAATGGGGCCGTAGCACCCTCAGGAGCAATCTTCCGAAACATGTTCAATTTAACTTTTCTCCCTATTCAATTTGATTTTTTAGTTTTAATTTAGCTAAGGGACTCGTATAGATATCAGGCCATCAGATTTTCTTAAGAACCAAAATTCATTCACTCTGAAACATAAATCTACCGTTTGGTCAAGATTTCACCAGAATCGGACAAAAATTCAAAAAGTTACAGGGCCATCAATTTGCTTAATTATTTTCTGGTCGTTTTTTTGCCGGTGAGTAGATAACATATTGAGAAAAATTACTCTTATTCTGCGACCGACACAAACGTCGTCCATTTTAATACCAAAATTAGCTCTTGAATTGACGTTTCTATTACTGACAAACATAGGTATGTTGCTAGGCAAAACTTTTAGTTTCTAGGAGCTTCAGTTGAACTTTAGCTCCTACGAACTAGAAAGGATGTACTAGGTCATCAAGAATAAAAACATTGTTACGGTTGGTTACTTGGGTTGGGACGCATACCTGATTTGTTTCCGATTTCGGCAGATTTGGCATTTCAACATTTCATACCCATGCTGGAGATATAAATACACCATATTGTTTTAAGTATTTTTGTTTCGATCAGGTCAGTTTTCAATATTCGGGATCTGATTGATCGGATAACTTGTTTTTGAATAATCACGACCAGCATCAATACTTTTTTGTCTCACACAACGATATTGTACACATTTGATTACCGAGGCAAACACAGTGGAATATGGAAAGAAATAAATAATCGCTATTATTATTGTTGATATGTTGATATGCTCACTAACCGAACATTTTCCACTTCTTTTTTCTATACCTGGCACTGGCGCGGTATTTGCCTATAGGGCTGACACCTGATCCAAATGAATTCATCGAACCAATAGAATGCACAAACGGGTCACTCTGTGGTTGTATTTATATTGAAACTACAAATCGAACATCCATGGAAATTGGATAAACCTGATCTGTAAATGCACAAATTGTAACAAAGTAGTCTATAAGGTCTTGGTTTTATCTACTTACTCATATTATTTTGCTAAAGGTATTATAATAAACTGTCAAGTGAGTCTCATTGGTGGTCACTTCACATATTATTTATTTTAGTTTATTCTTTCGGTTGCATAAAAAATGTTTCGGTAGACTCACAATTGCAAAATTCGCTTGTCAAACAAAGTGCCACTTTCGATCCTAATAAAACAATCTACTAGTTCACTTACTGAAAGTCATGGCTGATATCGGCAGCGTAACCACCTCGGCAATGAACCCATGCACGCTCGAAGCCCCGTTAGCAAACAGCTTCACGCTCAAACTGGGCAGCGACGACCTGAACAGCCGCTTCTCATTACCCGAACTCATCGTCACGCGATCAATCAACGTGGAGGACACGTTATAAATATCCCCGTCGTACATCTCCAGGAAGTCCGGGATGCCGTACTTCGTGGTGGAATTGAAGAGGTCGAACTGCAGCAGGCGCAGCCCCAGCGGCTTGATGTTGTAGGCGCTGCGGAAGATCTTGATGCAGTTGACCGGATGGTTGTCGTACTTGTGGTAGAGCAGGACGCGCTCCTCGATGTGGATCTCCTTGTGGGTGTCGCAGATGTCCACTAGGCTGAACAGGTGGTAGGGTACGTTCAGACCTGTAGAGGAGATACAGATTTTGACTTTTGGAGACACACAAGAATCAAAAGGACAAAGGAACAGGGGCGGATTATAGTACAAACCCGCAGAGCCTGGGCCGTTACCACCGATACAACAAGGCCTGCATGCTCCGTGGGTGACGTAACTTAGTGAGGCTTAACCAGCGGCTCCAAACGACAAGCGCTTATAGCGCTATAAGGCGACCGCGTATTTCGATTTTAGTTTTAGATCATCATTGTGCCGATTTTGCTGTTTTTTGAAGGGCTTCCGGTAAAAAAAGAATGCCAGTCGTCAACTGAGCCCTTCTTCGCACCCCATTCGATTTTATTATGGAAAAACGAAGTTTTAAAGCAGAAACCAGGATAAAACACAAATATCCACCTACAGCAACCCATTCGAATTAAATATATTGGCAAAAATTGTGGTGAAGGTAAACTTCACACCTACTTATACAGGGCCCGCAGAACATAAACTTATCGTGAGATTGATCGAAAGAAAATTGTGGAAAATGTATTTTATTTTGATTGACATGCCGTTTGTTACAATTGCCTATATTTATCTTGGAGAATTCCTATTACCTGAAAAAATAACCAGTGAGTGTTTTCAATTTTCTGTTGTTGGATTTTTCATCCAAGTGGATCGTTACACTTGAAACCGTAATTTTTAAGGGTAAAACTGCATTTATCATGCGATGGTTTTTTCGGTACTCACGTATTTTTGTCTGATAAACCGAATTTTATAATGAAAATGTGAACAAACCACTATTTATTGAGATATTTCAAGAAAAAGTTCAAAATTTCGCCTTCTTTCTCCCCTTGTGTTGGGGGCATTTGAGGCTACTTGCTCTTATCTTGTCATTGGACACTTTATATACTCATGATGTACTTCGATGGCACATTTTTATATAGAAAATTCAACAGGAAATATGATTTTTATGGCGAGTTTTTCATATTTAGTGAACAAGCATTCCAGATGACGACCATTTAATCAATAGTCAATCAAAATACGAGATGTCAAAGTCAATAGATTGCTTTCGAATGACATTACACACGCCATTATTTTGAATGATATTCTTCCTTCTTTTCACTAAATATGGATTAATCTAAAGAAAATCATGTATTATATATAAATTGTCCAATATGATGAAAAAAGGAGGGAAATTTGTTCTAAATGCCATCCAGAACACAGGTGAAAAAGAAGGTGAAATTTGGAACTTTTTAGTCAAATGTCTTCATAATAAATATCATGATAAATGCAGTTTTACCTTCCTAAGTAGAGTGTTTGTAGTTGATGTTAATATGATAGTTGCAATTTGATCATTGGAATGAATTCTGCATTCATTGCCACGAGGCAAATGAACGTTTTCAGAAAGAAATTTGAGAATGAGAATTAAAAATGCCCGTTTATTATGAACATTCAAGAAAATTTCCTCGAATTCAGAGATGATTTTGTTGACTATAATATACGAATACAAAACTAACTGCATAATCAAAGCTTTTCTATTTTTCCTCTACTTATACTTTTTATGAGAGAGTAATTGTCTTCTATTATTAATTCATCATTATAAATTAAGCTCTGTTTACTACTGAACTTAGATGGAGTAAAATCCTCGCGGTGAATTGCATATACCCACATTTTCGACAGCTCCTCGTCCAACGGGAAACTAAAAGCATGAACTTTTGAACCACCCACATAATTCCCCCGACAAAAGGGAACACAACACTTGAAAGGCATTGTTATTTCGCCGATCACAACACAAAATATTTCATAAAACAGTAATTTTTCCGCCAATTATTTTGATGAATAAACAACAAAAGAATTCCGTACCGTTTCAAAAACATACGTGAATCACCGATGAATTAACACGAACTGACGCGTTAGTCGACAAGCGATAAAATAAAACACTGGCCTCTCTTGGTGACGTCACGAGCTGTTTACGTCAGAGTCTGCTGGCCTTGTTGTATCGGTGGTAACGCCTGGGCTTGTAGTGCTCAATCCCAAAGGGCGAAAAAAATTCCAAATACTTTAAAAATAGCTATTTATTATACAAGGGAAAAAAGTAGTAGATTTCAGCTCCAGGTTGTGTTGTCTCCCGACGCGTAGCGCATCGATTATTTTGAATCGCAATAACTCGAAAACAGTTGCTCGCAGCGACCTCTACCAAGAATACATTTTTTACACAAAAGTGTTCTAGAAAATTATTTTTCTACCATAAAACGTGATACAGGTACGCAGAAAGAAGTTATGACTTTTCAAAAGACTTAAAAGACATGTAGGTGGCACCACCCCCACGGAAGAGACAAACATAAAATTTGTTATTGTCATTGAGAAATCCCCCTAGATACCAAACTTCATTCGAATATCACAATTATTTCGAAATTTATTAACAAAAAACAAAAATAAGAATTCAACTTTGACACTTTGACATACAGTGTGACCCATTTAAGATGGAAGCACCCTTATAAAACTTACATTTTTCAACCGATTGGAATGATTTTTTTTTGTTAGGTAGATATTCAAAAAGTCTATTAGGACACCAAATATCATGAATAAATCTCCATTTCCAGGGCCAACTAATCTGATTTTTCAAGGTCAAAAATCTAAAAAAATTACTAGCGATTTTTTTAGAAAAAATCTGACTACACCACTGGATTTGTGACATTTTCAAATGTAAATTACGTTGAAATGCGTCAATCAATAAAAAAAGTTATAAAGGAATGAAATTTGAAAAATATGCCGTTTAATCAACCCATCAATTTTTATTACTGAACAGATTTCGATGAAACTGTGATCAGTAATATTTCAAGACATCCTGAATCCAGTGGAGTATACAGAATTTTCATAAAATTCCTGAACATGAATTGGTGGGTTGATTAAACGGCATATTTTTCAAATTTAATTCCTTTATAACTTTTTTATTGATTGACGCATTTCAACGTAATTTACATGTTACCCATTTGAAAATGTCACAAATCCAGTGGTGTAGTCAGATTTTTTCTAAAAAAATCGCTAGTAATTTTTTTAGATTTTTGACCTTGAAAAATCAGATTAGTTGGTCCTGGAAATGGAGATTTATTCATGATATTTGGTGTCCTAATAGACTTTTTGAATATCTACCTAACAAAAAAAAAATCATTCCAATCGGTTGAAAAATGTAAGTTTTATAACGGTGCTTCCATCTTAAATGGGTCACACTGTATATTTATACGAATTTTTCTTCTTATTTTGACGTCAGCAACATGCTAATGAAATTTCTAGACGTACTCACGAAACATCGTATATAAAAGTTAGGCAAGCCATGGTTAGATTATTTCATTGTACCAGTATTTCACCTCATGTCTATTGAAACATTATCGTTACCTTTCAGAGGGGTGAAGCTCGACTCTTCAGACTCCCTGCCTTCCCCAGACAAAGACAGCACGTTTATCCCCACTCCCAACGAGTTCTGGATGTTGTTCCGCAGCAGAATCATGGTACCGGAAGGAGATATCAGATCGAGAGCGTCCGCAGCGGTGTTATTGATCACCACGTAGTTGATCCTAATAATAATAAGAACATTTAATGAAAAATACTGTCTGTAGGTTGATCAAGGAGATGGTATATTCATTATGCCAGATTTTTTGGGATTTCATCTCATAATTTTCTTTTATTGAACCCAAGAAATGGAGGGCAACAAAAAAAAACAAATCGAATATCCGATGAAACCTAATTCAACAAATTCAGATCCACATGTTGGCGTTTTTGAATATTTTTTTCAAATCGAACAAGTTTTGAAATTTAGGCTCTTATAGAGCTAGTTATGTTTGTTCCTTAACCCTTAACCCCCCCGCACTATGCGCGGATCAAAATAATGTCTTAGGTTATTCAAGTGAGTTTCTGGTTCCACCAATAATGGCAGGTATATTAAACTTCTTAACAATACTTGAAAACTAAAATGATCATTGTTTTTTTTTACAGATTTTCTTCATTATAAATTTGCTGATGATGAAGGATTAATCACCTACGTTGGTTACCTTGTAATTTCAAATTGACAATTATCCACATTACAAATACAACCAATACAGTCAACAATCATCTCTATGACATTTATATTGTAATGATTATTCCCCTTAGAGGGGCTCTAGAAACATCATCAGGAAAGCAGGAGTACTATGATCATCCTGTAACATGCATTCCAGATTGTTCTCCAACATTCCAATGATTCCTACATGTATTTCCGAACACTCAATATATGTCGCGGTGACAAATAACGTGACAGATGATTCTGGAATGTTCTGGAAACAATCGATGGAACAATTAGAGAGAGAGGTATTGTTCTAAGAAGCTTCTAGAACAAAAAGAAGGGTATGGAAGATCATTCGAGAACGTTCGAGAAGCAAAGCCTACCAAGGGATCGCATATATAAGGACGACCGGACAACTGCCGTCAGTCAGTCAGTCAAGCAGCGAGTGTCAGAGAGACAGTCATATACCGTCTGATATATATGATCGTTTTACATAAATAGTAGTTATAAGTTCGATATAAATTAGCGTTTCTTTAGTTGAAATTAATCAGTTTGAAAATAAATAGTGTCCTGTTCACTTCTGCACTACTCATATATTAGCTAGTTACCGGTGACATCTGTCAGATACAAGTTGTAATATATACCGCAGCGTGCATCGTCCCAACTTCGTTTTACATTCCATCCAGGTGAGTTCTTGTAAATTCTACAATTATATCGAAACTTTCTGGTAATCCAATCAGTGCTGTTATTTTTTAATCATAAATGATTCATCTTGATGCCTTCATATTTATTTTCGTGTAATATTCCGCCTAGGGATTGTGACTGGCCACTAAAATCTCGTGTCTACAATGGGCGTGTACACCTTGGTAGAACTTTTAACTCAAACCATGTTTATGATGATCCTTTCATACATAAATAATGATTGACGACATTATTCGATCGAAAAATTTACTAGAATGTTCAATTTTTGGACATAAATAATAGTACCATCTGAAAACGGACCCTCTTATGACGTAGAAACCTCATCCCGCCATAGTTAAAAGAAAATACCAAACGCCGGACGGAGACTGAGGCAACTGATATATTAATTCTTTCAACTGTGATCTCGCGCTAATTCACTCTGCCAGAAATCATGTATCATTCATCTCTGTCTGGAATAGTCCTGTTTCAGTATTAGGGTTTTGACGTCACATCATCGCCTCGTTTTCAGAGGTCCGAAAAATCGGGGATTTCAATGATTTTTTATAAAACGTAGGGAGCTCACAGCGATAAACGGTTTGCGTTATGGAATAATATTTTTTTGTGATATAAGCCCATTGTAGACGTTTGTATTCAACGAACTGATTATCTGTTTGAAATATACACTGAGGATGATATTTCATGCTTTAGATATGGCACTCATAAATTCGTGGACAGAGTACAGAAAAGACTCGCAGCTTGGTCGGTCAGCAAAAAAGATTCTAGAGTTATTACACATTAGAATGGAAAAGGAGTAGGTTCTTATCAAAAATGTTAAAAATTACTTTTCTAGGAAGAAGGTAGGGTAAAGAGGCTGTTAAAGAACGACGTCCGAGTTCAGCCGTGTCGCGGTGAGGCATCTTGTAGATGTACAGTTGGACAATGTGAATCACATACCAGAGCACACAGGAGTGTTCCTTCCTGGGAGATGTGGAAATTTTGGTTGGCAAGGGCAAGTCTCGATGGATTTGGGCCTTCAGAAAAATCGCAACAATTTCAAGACATTTTGATTTGGATTGAACAGTCCTTTTCATACTTGATTTCATGTAACCATTGTTTATTCATTTTTCAATAAATATTATAATTATGTTCCATCTACAAATTGTAGACACATTTTTTTTCGTACTTCTAGGAGTGTTGATTCGAAAAAAATTTTTAAAGTGTTTACAAATATCACAATAACAAAATTGTATCTCTTAAAATAAGAGCTCGTGAGTCATATCAATGAGATAATTTTCGAACCTGGGACTTTTGATGACAGCCTGCACCGCCGAGGATTTCTCGTTGTGCAAAATACCCGCCCCGTCGATGTTGACGTACTCCAGGGTGGACTCGTAGGACTGCACTGTCATGTGGGTGTGGATGTCGTGTATCCTGTGGGTGTACAGCTGCTGCTCGAACTCGGCGTCGGCGAACCTCACGCCTCCCCAATAGTTGTGCCTCGTGCGATACCGGTCGCACCGGATGAAGACGAACTTCGAGTTCCATTCGCACTTGTGCCTATGTGGTGCCCCCAAATAATTAGTACATCATATTTATGAAATGTATGGTAAAACTGCACTAATCATGCCATGGGTTTTTTTCGACATTTTTTTTGGTACTAATGTATTTTAGCCTGAAAAACCTTTATTTATTAGGATATTTCACTATTAAGTCTTTTAGATCGCATTTAGAACAATTTGCCTTTCTTCTTTAATCATTGGACAATTTATATATCACAATGTACATCAATGACGCATTTTTTTCTATCAGATGAGTCAACTGAAGTAGTGGAGATGACTTTGAGCAAACATGGACATCTACATCGATAGGACAGGATGAACTATAAATTTTGAACGACTCGTCCTCTGGAACATGGATTTCTTTTGAAATCAGTTAGGCAGAAGAAGACTGTCAGATCCATCGCAAAAGCTGCTTCACAAAAACTCGGATTCTTGTTCCGTGCGAAAAGCTACTTTACACCTCAACAGCTTCTCATGATCTACAAAGCGCAGATACGGCCTGTTCTAGAATACTGTTCCCACATATGGGGTTAAGCACCAAAACATACGCTGATGCTCTTAGATTCCATCCAGAGAAGAGCCATTCGCCAGGTGATGGGTGACGCCACGCTCACTCACTCTTTGACATCATTGGAACACCGTAGAAAGGTCGGCGACTTTTCACTTTTCTATCGATACTTCCACGGGAAATGTTCTTCGGAAATCTCTGCTATTATCCCTTCACTAGCAATACCAATCAGACGAACTAGACAAGCCCAGTCAGCACATCCTTTCGTTATCAACCGCGAAAGATGTCGAACAGCACTTTATCAAGACTCCTTCATCCATAGAACGGCTAGGCTCTGGAATTCATTGCCTGAGGAAGTATTCCCAACAACATAATATAATCTCCAGAAGTTCAAAAAAAATTCCAATACCTACCTTCTGTCCCTATCCTCCCTAGGAACGCACGATGTTCTTTGAACATTATAGGGATTCCCTTTCGTGCGCTCCAAGCGATGAAAAAAAATATCCTTGGAATGAGCCTTTCCAGTGATTTCTAGAAGTCAACGGTCTGCCTATTACTGGAGCATTATTTTTAAAGGATACAGACTCCATAAGACTCTGGAAAAAGTTTCCGCATATCTGGTGATTCGGCAGTCGATGATTAGTAAATCTTTCATTTGAATGTTATTTTTTTGAATTGGATGAGTTCAAAAAAGTAGGTACAAAGAAGTAACAATCATTTTTTGCTGATATTCAATCATATTCATGAAATGTATGGTAAAACTGCACCTATCATGCGATGGTTTTTTTTTTCGAAATTTGTTTTTTTGGTACTCATGTATTTTTGTCTGAAAAACTTGAATTTGATAATGAAAATGTGAACAAATTATTTATTAGGATATTTCACTATAAAGTTACAAATTTCACCTTCTTTTCCGCCTGTCTTTCGGATCGCATTTGGAACAATTTGCACTTCTTCATTCATCATTGGACAATTTATATATCACAAAGTACATCAATGACACATTTTTTGATCATATGAGAATTATCCATATTCAGTGAAAAGAAGAAAGTATACCATTTGAAATAATGGCGTGTGTAATGTCATTCAAAAGCAATCTGTTGACATTTGACATCTCGTATTTGGATTGACTATTGATTAAATGGCTGTCATCTGGTATGATTGTTCACTAAATATGAAAAACTTGCCATAAAAATCATATTTCGTGTGGCATTTTCTGTATAAAAGTGTCATTGAAGTATTGAGTTTATTAAGTGTCCAATGACAAAATAAGAAGATCAAGTAGCTGTAAATGCATCCAACACAGGGGGAAAAAAGGCGAAATTTCGAAATATCCCGATAAATAGTGGTTTGCTCAAATTTCCATTATCAAATTCGTGTTATTTTGATTTGTTCTAGATATAATTGAAATATAACTCAATGTTTCTTCTTGATTAGTCATTTCATCAGGCGTCCATCAATAATTTGTTTCATACTTTTCGCCTAATCAGGAAATCAAATTACAAATATCATTCCATGTAAAGTAGCCAACATTAAAATAGGACCTCAATTGAGTCAATACATATTAAGATCGCATTCAGCTATCAAAATGGCATACATTAGCTCTGTGTGAACATGGCAGTTCACCAATGACTTCAGCAGAATAACCATTTCTTTGAAGTGAATTCACAGCCTATTGAGAAAATGAAAAATATGTACATAACAATTTTTCATAACCTTGACGGAGAAATAAAAATCTCAATATAGAAAACTTCCAAATGTATAGGTCTATTAAAAGTTTCAAGTGATAAGATGCTCACAGCAACACCTATGATTTATGATAACATTCCAACATGTGCTCACTGGGAACAAATAATAACCTCAATTGACGATTTCATATAAATATCTACACTAACAAGATGAACCATCCTTATGAGAGCAATGAAGCCAGAAATTCTATTAAGAAGGGGCGGTATCTATAAGCGACAAGGTGAACTACTTTTGCTAAGACGGAATATAGCATCAGGGTCACATTAAAATATTTTCATTTAAAAGTGTTCAGAATATCAAAGTTATAGTAATTTTCCTGCGTCAGACAGAAGGATATTCCTAGATAGTTCAGCAACTTGCAGATAGATGGACTCGAGCAGATTCCGAGAGTATAGACAAATCGGCCATATTTAGCTGAGTTTCAGTAGCCTACCGAACCAGCCAATGACTAAGGTCAAATCAGGCTCTGACAGTTTACATGGAGTTGAATCATCTTGTTAGTGTCAATGGCAATATGACGTTTCACAATTTGAAAAAACTTCAGTTGTTCCTGAAAAACAGGGTTGGCAATGAAATGGGACGATTTGGGGTAGCGCTTGCAGCTCACTATAAAGTGGTGGGGATGAAAGTCACCGGCCTGTCAGCATCCGCATGGCTTTCCATTTATTTATAATGAATCATTGGATGGATGAACAACGCAGCAATGCAGTTGGAGTCTACTTTTGAAATGTAATGCCAAACCCTGAAAATATCGAACATGTTCGACAAGGGACGGATATCGAGATGTCTTCGCCGATCCCATGGCGTAACGTTTGTAGAAACAGGACTATTAGTTGGGCTGCGATTTTTATTTGTGAGGAAACTTGAAAACGAAGGTGTTTAAAACTGATCCACCTTCGATTTAAGGTATCTTCACAAAAGGAAATCGTAGACAGATAGGTCGGGAGACTGATATTGCTGGGTAGAGAAACGATACGCCCTGGGATCGGCGAAACTTCTTGATATCGCTTGTCGAACACGTTCGATATTTTCAGGGGTTTGAACTATTGTGGCACTACATTTTGATATTAGGCTTCAACTGCGTAGCTCCGTTGCTCACCCGTAAATAAATCCATGCGGGTCCTGACAAGCCGGCAATTTTTATCCCCACCACTTCGTAGTACGCTGCAAGTATCATCCCATATCGTCCCGTTTCATTGTGGAACTATGGATTTTGAAAAAAATGTTCATTCATTTTTTTGTTTGTTAGTATTTAACACACCTATGCCCGAATTGCTGTCCGTTCAGTCGTATTGGGCAATCCTCGTACATCCTCTCAGTACCAACGCACTGTAGAGGCTCCGGCCACGTCCAGATCCTTGACAGCGAGTTGCTGTGGAAATCTATCCGCTCGCCGAAGTCGAAGAAGGCCGTGAGAGGGTCGAAACCCAGTTCGCGGCAGACGACTTGCGCGTTGCGCTCGGTGAAGCGCGAGTCGCACATGGGGATCCACTGGAGGGTGGTGCCGTTGAAGTACTCGAGGAAGCCTTCGGTGGCGGGGTCTTCGTCGGGTTCTTCGCAGTCGCGGGTTTTGCAGAGTCTGTCGAGGAAAGAGCAAAGAGGGTAAAGTTTATGCAGTCAGTTGAACAGATCATCAAACGAATGTCGGGTCGCGCTGCCGCACTCTTTGAACTTTCAAAGGGACCGACGGCTTGCGGTGATGTTTTTCCAACTGACTTTGCATACACTATACCATCAACTTTTTTTTTCAAATGCAAAGGGAAGTCACGTGGTGCCTAGTTTTGAAGGCCTTCCAATTCTCTATACAACACCTCTTCGTTTGTGCAAACCGGCTAAGTCGTTTCAAACTGACGAGCTCTTGAGCTTTTGGCTACATTTTGGTTGTGCGTTAATTTCTTGGAGAAGTGTATATAAATAACTTCTCCAGATGGTGCCATATCAATTTATTGAAACTGAATTTGAATAAATGTCAAAAGATAACATTTTCACGAAGCCATGATGCTATATCGATCATATTTACAGAGTTCATATATAATACACTGCCAACTGATTTCCGAGAATTGACAATAAAAAAATTCAAGGAGGTCATAAAGCATATTTTGATTGAAAACCCACTGCATGACATTCATGAATTTTCCGAAATAGTTGTGAGGAATAGGGATGCTTTTGGAGTGTCGTGAATTACTTTTTCTATACATATTTTCTGGATTTTAATGATTGTCAAACTTGTCAAACTTGAACATTGAATTTATTATTTTCTTAGATAAGGTATTCCATTTCAGTAACGCCAAAGAATTTTAGCATGTAACTGTATTTGTATTTTATATTTCGAATTGATGTACTTTATTGTCGTAATTTTATGAACTTTGCTCTTGTAGGTAACTGATCTCAAATTTCGTAACGTGTCTATAAACTCTGTGTTTCTAAGATCAATACAATTATTATTATTCTTATAATGATACTAATCTATCAGAAAGCAATACAATCAAAGACTGAGGGGTAATATTCGACTCGAAAATGACCTTCAAACATCACATAATAGGAACATCATCTCGTCCTCGTAAAATGCTAGGATTTTCCCTTCAGTTTGCTAAAGAACTATCTATCAATGCTGTTAAAATTATGTATTGTGCACAGGTGAGGTCTATTCTTGAATATAATTTCTTGACCTGGTCACCATTTCACAAAGTTGATTCTGATCTTTTAGAGGGTTGTCAAAATAAATTTTTAAGAAGTTGTGCATATCATATGGGATTCAATAGGGATGAATATACCTATCCACAAATATTAGATATTTTAAACATGGAGAAAATAGTGACATTTTTAAGATACCATCCTGTAGCACAAATTATGGCCAAAATGAATCCATGAATAGAATTATGAAAACAGCAGATATACACAATTACCAAATTGAACTGTTCAATTGATCTTCAAGTTCTTTCAGGAAGCGATAAAAAACTGTTAATCACTTATTTCATAATCCTTATCTTTTTATTCGTTTTAGCCTTCTACATTTTTTTGTGTTAGTCTTCTTCATAGATATAATGATATGTATGTGCTCTGTATTTTTATACTCTTCATGTAAATTGCATGATTGGCTTGTCCGTTGATAAATAAATAAATTCGCTACAGGTTCAAATTCGAGATATTATACGTCGAGATAACTTTGGTGTTAATTTTGCCTTATATTTTCGAATCAATATAATTTTTGACCTATTAATTATACCGTTTATAACTTAGAAGATGTTACGTTATAGAAATATAAATAAACCCGTAGTTTTCCAGGCAGAGGCTGTCAAAGTTTTGAAGAATTTGATTTTGGATGATTTGTAAAAAAAAAATTATTTTAAATTTTCATAGAAGTTGATAGATTTGTTAGCAATAATAAAATATTCCCTATTATGTTATCAGAATGTTTAATCATTCCAGTGGCAAATAGAAAGTTAGCAGATAGAAATTTAGGGATTTTTGAAGAAAGTTCCTATACCTAAATATTCCTTCTAATTATTTGAAAGAATCTTACCTTAAAAATATTCAGCTGTATATTGAAAGTGAAATTAACAAAATTAACATAATTTTAGGGTTAATAAATCGAAATCAATACTGATTTTAAATTATGTATAAATAAAATTGATTTCATGTGACTAGAATAATTTCAACTCATCCAATTCGGAACTAGAGCTAATTTGTAATCATGAATCAGCTATAATTTTGAGTTAAATATATGACGAAATCTGAACCAATTTTGAGTCAACATCATTCTCAATTTCCACTATTAACACTTGATTGATAAAATACTGACTCAAATAATTCAGAATTGGAGCCGATTTCGAGTTAAGAAAGTGAAAATCACTACTAATATTGAAGTCTGTTGGAATTGAACTAATTTCAATCATAAATTAGCGTTGACTCCAAGTTTATAAGTCAAGAATTGCGCTAATTTCATGTTATAAGTCAAAAGAAAAATCTTTTCTGAAATTCATCAAATGTAATGTACCCACCTTATCGCTTCCTGCCCATAAAACTTTTCAGTCTCCCGCTTCTCCCTCACGTCCTCCTCCCTTCTCAAACTCCCCGACGCCGTCACGGGCCTCAACACGATCTCCTTGCCCGCATACCCCCTAGCATTGAGCACCCCCAGCACCAGCAGCCCCACGTTGGGCGCAAACTCCACCACCACCCCCGGATAAATAGTCATCGTGACGTTAGGCATCACGGTAATGTCTTTCCGCACGATATACGGCCGACCTCTTGTGGTCAACTTCAAGTCCTCGTAGATCCTTCCACCGAGGTCTTCCAAGTCCACGGTGGCGTTAGCCGAGAAAGTGGTCGAGTGGCTGGCTTGGAAGTGGTCTTCTAGGAGGTAGGGCCTGTACTGGGCGATGGCGTGGTCGTTCCAATCGTCGAAGTCGAAGATTTTGCTCTTGATGAGGTTCTCGTCCTCGGAGCCCCACCAGTTCAAGGCTACGTCGAGGTAGTTGCCGATCTTTGCGGTTTTGATGCCGGCTAATAGGTGGTAGTCGAGGGCGTTATCAGAGAAAAGGTTCCTGTTGACTCTGACTTTTTGTATGCCTTTGAAACCGATGACGCAAGTTGGGTACTGCTCCAGCTGGAGCACTCCTCCTCTGCCTCGCATCATGTATCTGTTACCTATGGAAAACCGGTTCACCTTTAATTTTATCATTTCAACTAGGGTTTGCAATCCCGAAATCACTAGACCGTTAATCCCGGGTTCCCGATGAAATTTCGATCCTGGCAAAACCAGGATTAGGGTTTTTGCGCTAATGGTTTAGTCAGGCGATTCAAAATGAGAATATGTAGTACTTGCATATTAATAATTTTCTTATAAACGACACATTTTATATTTGTTGATATATCTCCAAAGATTTATTTATTTATTTCATTCTTTGCTATAAACATTACATTTTACATTGCATCTCATATAAATATAAATATAATCATTAACATTTACAATGGAATAACATGAATAATCAGACAGATTCATATCTGGAATGAGATTATTCATGCGATATCAAATCAAATTATAGTTATTGAAATAAACAAAGAATAAAAAAAAATAATAATGAAACAAAAATCTTATGGAAAGTACATTATGACATGAAGAAATAAATTAGTGAATGAGAAATCATTCACTCAGGTTTGATTTTCTCTTTGCAAGAGGATATGTTTCTTGACTTTGATTTTGAATTGGGTGATATTTGTGCAACTTTTGATATCATCAGGTAATTTTTTGAATTTTGAGATAGCTCCGTGAGTGAACTTTTTTTTACCAAGTGTAGAATTAGCAGCATCAAGATGAAACAAGTCATATTGTCTAGTATGATGTTCATGGATTTGAGAATTCCTTACCAATATGAAGTTAGATTTGAGGTGTTTGTTGATAATATCAAAAGAAATTTTGATTATTCTTGGAACATGAACCCCAAATATTTATGAGATAGTTCATTTTACTAAGGATGTGAGAGTATAGAACGGTAGATTCTAATTTTGTTATCACTGTATTTGTTTCTGACGGGCTCCGGAATCTTTATTTAATTTTGTTTTACTTTTGCTGTTTTGCTGCATTCATTTTATTTTGTATTGTTTCTATTTGTTTGTTGAATCAAGAATATATGGATGGCAACTTTTATCGTTAAGTAATGTACCTTGATTCAATTTTAACCATTCAAACATCGATCCCGAAAGCCCGGGTTTCTCGGGATTAGGTAAACAAATCTCGAAATCATGGAATTTTGGTTCGGGATTGCAAACCCAAAATACATCTTCCTCAAACAATCACGTATTATATTGCCTTTCCTTCTTCCGCATTTTGGCTGAAGTTGAGACTGCAGCATGAGAGAGAATATCACAAGAGTCTTTGCAGTGTTCAGAAAGGAGAATACCTGAACAGCACCAGCACCCGAATCAAGCGTCTAGCTACACCATTTCCATCGGTGGCTCTGTGAATTCTCGCACGTACATGACGTCACTGACAAAACGCGATATATGCGAGAGGCCATTATTTCTTCATAGTTATAAATTTCAAGTAAATGAATGTTACAACAAGCTGTGGGTCTGATTGCCACGCAAGTGACTCGGGTTCAATCTCTGCGAAGGTCAACTTTTTTTTATTTTGTTCTCAAGTAAGTCTCCGAAGATGGTATATTTGAGCTGCGTTAAGTTAGATAGTTTAGAAGAAGTAGTCTCCTTTCTTATGCAAAAAGGATATTTTACTTCCTTATATTACGTTATTACACGTCTTCAGAATTCAGAGAGCATGTGTCGCATCTCTGCTATCTACACTGCTTTGGGATTTTTCTTTTTCTAAACACTGCATGACGTCGATACTCTTGTGAGAATGAGTATCTCATGGAATGACAATTCAAATTGATACTATACTACATTCCAAATAAGAAGATGTACCTACATGGCACAGCCTCTGAAAGAATAAAAACTATGGCGCCTGGAACATGGACTTCGATTGTTGTTCCCAGGATTTGTTCTAACATAAAATAAAACAAATACAAAAAATGTAATGATGTTCTCACAAAGGAAACTTTGACCTTAACGTCACGTCATGTCACATATGGGCCGGTGTAATATTCAGTGACGGCTCCTCAGAGGATGCAACGGAGGCTGAGCCTCCTCAAGAATTTCCATAAATCGAATAGTTAGATATACTTGTATAAAATATACATCGAAATAGCTAGCTTACGTTCGTTTAATCGGTTTTATTTCCTGATATCAAAAAGAATTTGGCAGCAATGCTTTTATACTTAAAAATATTCAGAATAGAATACAAATTTGTGACTTGGCAACATCAAACGGAAAGCAGCCTCTGAACTAGTCTGAACAATGAAATTCGCCGGATTCGCGGAGGAGCACGTGTGACAGATGTTCATAAGTATATGGTGTTTGCTTTGATGCACTTTTGTTTCGCCAAAACTTGACGGCAATGAACAGTTGAAAATCGCAATACAAGATTGTTGTTACACCTTATTCTAAATATTCTAAAAGATGATACTGTAAGAATTCTCTTTAAAATGGAAATAGAAACAAAAAAAAAATTATCGGAATTTTTTCAAACACTATCAAAAATGAACCTACTTACACAATTTCTCTGTTTTTTTGTCGTAAGCATAAGTGATTGTTGTTATTTGGTCCGATGACCATTAAAAATATGGCAATATCAGCGCCTCTTATGGATTTTCTATGAACAAGAACCTTTTAAGTGTCGTCAGTTTTTTTTTCCTAAAATTTCACATTCACACTTCCCATTGAGCCTACCCTGTTGAAAAGAGCCGCCACTGGTAATATTGCCTCCAATATTAACCAATGAAAACGAAGGTCAACGCTTCCCTATGGTTTCCAACGCTGTCTTCTTAATTGGAATGGTTCATAGAATCATAAAACTAGACTACAACACTTGAAAATAAGAACTAGCTGGAAAAATGGTAAATCGGTGTTTCTTACCCCTCAACTCGTTATAAATGAAAACTGCAGGTACGTTTCCTATGATCTCCGACTGACTGTTCGAGCTAAACTCGACTATGTATCGGCCATTGTTGTTAGTGAATCTGTTGTCTCGTATCAACAGTTTCTTTTCCATGCCCTTGACGGCCAGCAATCCCTGTTTGCAGTTGTTGTCTTGGAAGGAGTTGTTGGTGATGTTTACGATGGCGAAATGGCCGTCGATAGTGATTTCGAAGTTGAGGTTGTTGGACCAGGTGTTGTTGTCCATGTATACCGAGTGAGTGAAGTTTTCGTTATATTGCCAGACGTATGGGAGAGAAATGTCGAATCCACCACCTGAGAAGGAAAATCACGTTGAAGTGAGTGGATTATTAAGCTACAAAAATCATATTTACTCCTGAACTGGAACAGGGATATTCTCGACAAATTTAATCACTGAAGAATATAGTGAGGGTAAAAATGTGAAACTGCTATAAAATTAAGGATAAACCCATTTGAAGTGAACTAGGTACTGTAAAAATGGATTTAGAATATTGAAACATGTTTGGTTCAACATTTGTTGACTCTTTGGTAATTCAGGAACGTAATAGCAGTAGTTGACTCATAGTAATGTACTTCAAAGAAATGATGTATGAATGGAGATGATCTGGATGTTCCGTGAATTAAATTCGCTCTATATCTGAAAGGGACATGTTTATTTCTGGTGAAACTAGGTAAAACCGAGAGTTGAAAATATATTACTACAAACCACAAATCAAAATCTTGAATCATTTCAGAATGAGTATTTTGAATAACAATAAGCTAGTCACATAGTATTGAAGAAGTTTGACGCCCTCTAGAACTAACAAACGAACTTGTTTGATATTCTATTTTTTTTTAATTAACTGCCTTTTTGAAATCTACTTCAACAAATAGTATTCAGTTGAACGTTTGAGCTTGAGAGTGAGATTCCCTTTGGCATTTACACTTATAGATTTGTTGAATATTATAGAACACCAATCGCTATTAGTTATGTTGGACCAGTTTTTTTTTTTTTTTTTTTTTTATATGAATATTATTACTTAAATTCAATCGCCCCGTGAAGACAGGACTGTTTCTATAGTTGAAAAAGCAAAATTGTTAATTGTTTTTTGATAAAAATAAAGTTTTAGCCGGAGAAGTGGTGTAATTTATATTCCTATCCAGGGAATCGTTAAAAATGGCGCTGTCGGCAGGATATTTGTAAGGATTCTCTGGATAGGAATAAGAATTACACTTCATTCTTATCAAAAACAATCAACAGTTTTTCTTTTTCTACTATAGAATTAGCCGTCTTCACTGGGCAATTGAATTTAAGTAATAATATTCATACAAAACTCCCTTTTTACCCTTATACTAACCTTTGTTACTCTCTATGGTATTATCTTGGAAAACATAGTGGAACAGATTATTCGACGATCGCATATCTCTGGAAAACTGATAAATCCCCTTCTCATTATTTGAAATAGTCGTTCTGTTCAGCATGAAAGTCATCTCAGAAATATTACTCGTATGCAAATCCCAGTACGGAGAATGCACAAAAACAGCCTCCCTCTTATTATGACTGACATCACAACCAGCAAACTTCATCGTCTCGTTAGCCTTCCTCAAAAAATGGTTCCCCAGCTCGTCCAAGTACCTATTATAATACGAGGCGTGCACTCCAAACTCGTTGTTCCTAATCACCGTACGCGACAAACTCAGAGTCGGCACCGGACCCTTCACTATCCTGTTATAAACGGTCTGCAGAGGTGCTCTAACGGTACTAATAACCAGCACGGTACCGCCCAACGCGTTCGACCCGCTGACGTAATCCAGTACCACCCCGTGCGCGCTGGACGTCATCGGGAACACCGTCAAGTCCCTGCGCAACAGGTAGTACTGCGTGTCGCCGTTAGAGGTCAGCCCGTCGTGCACCACGATGCTCTCGGTGCTCCTGTTCTCGATCGGGTTCAGTAGCTGAATGCCGACCACCCACCCGGGATCGCAGCGCACCCTGTACGACCTTGAAACGCTGTCACCGTACACTTGCGAGGTCACGAGGTACTTGGTTTCGCCTCGCTGGAGCTCCACAATGTTCTGATCGGTGTTGTGGGGGATAGTAAAGGGGTTGTAGTAGTTTTCGTCGTCGTTTTTGATGAACCAACCGGCGAGCTCTCGCTGCTGCAGTCCTGATAAAATGGGGTTATGTTCGATGCCGATGAAGTTGTTTTCGATTTTGTCGTTGTACAAGGTGAGACCGAGCTGTTTGAGGCTGATGCCGGCACCTTTGTTGTTGGAGAACTGGGAGTTTTTGATGATGTTGACGGACTCTGAGAAAATGTCGGAGTACATTATGCCTAGCCCGTGAAAGAAGTTGTCAGTTATCTTGATGTTTTCGAAGTTTTGACGAGCGAAGTCGAGCTGCAGGGCTGGTTTGAAAGAGTTGGTGGCGTAGTCTAGCAGGCCTGACTTTTCTATAGTAAGGAATTGTATATCGGTTCTTTCTGCTAACGATCCGAATCTGACTCCAGCCCAAGAGGTTTTGTAGCATCTGACTCCGACGTCGTTGTCGTGGGAGCAGGAATTTTCGAAATCACCGACTTTTTCCGATCTGCATTTGGTGATATCCAAGTCAAAGTCGTCGCATTGCACATTGGAGAGGATGACCTTCCCTGTTGTACCTGCAGCTGGTATTTCATTACGTTCCAAATTCCTGAAATACAATAGTGATACATGATACTAAATTTCGTGAGTGCGAGCATGACTGCCATTCTTGTAGGAATTCAAAAACATCTCATAGATAATGTCATTCAGTTCTAGTTTCATGAATTCACTCAGAAGTCTGTCACAAATTTCACGTTTGGCAAAAATAGTTTTCCGTTAGAGAAACCGTGTAATGAGTAAGCGTCGTTGCCACACCCACTCGATTATGACACGTGTGGCAAACGATAATCCTTGCGGTCGGGCCGAAACATAAACTCGCTCGAAGGAAGGACTAATGCAATACGAAGATTATGGCAACGTCGCCATTCTCTTTGTTAAAATGCCCATGCACAAAATGCACACGGTTTCCCTATAGGAATTTATTTTTTCCAGACGTGTATATTCAGTAAAATCATTCATTCCATGCTAGATCACGTTCGTCATAAATTAAACTAATCTAAACCTTGGTAGTGTTCGCTCACTAATCGAAAATGTTTCAAAATTTTCGCAATCAGCTGTGACCCACTTCTACTATTATTGTATTCTACGATTGTATTAAGATATCTACTACTTACCAATCATCTGGATTCAACACGTATCCCAACTGCTGGCAAACCAAAGCTGCGTTCTTCATGGTCCACCCATAACTACACACCGTACCCCACTGCTCATCAATTTTCAACTGCAACCTCCCTTCAGTATCCTCGTTACCCCCAAGAAGCCTGATAGGCACCTTGGGCTCGATCTGGATCATCTCCGTTTCAGAATCATACCGCTCAGTCTCAGTGTCATAAGTCACATTGTCGGGAGCATGGACCAGCTCTTCCTTCAAAGTGAACCTTATGCTATCTGGTTCAATTCCTCTAGCATCCAGCCTGCCGCCAATCATCATGCCGACAGATGGCGGGAATCGCAAGGTCACTCCAGATTCTATGGAGAGCTTTCCACCAGGTCGGATGCTGATATCCCTCACCACTATGTACTCCCCTTTGAGGATCGTCTCCTCGCCTTCTATTTCCCCCCCAATACGATCCGAGCTTCCCGATGAAAATTTCGGGACATAAAACTGATTGCCGTTGATTCTAGAAGTCAAAGGGTTGGTGTTATGCAGCAAGAAGGGAACGAAAGCTATCCTAGCGAGGTTATACCGGTCGTAGCGGTGAAAAAGTCTGTAGAAAATATCCTCGTCCCTGCCGGATCCCAACCAATTGAAAGTAGCATTGATCGTTTTGCTTTGGTCCTCCAAATGGCTACCAATTTCGTATTTAGAGTCGGGGTTCTCTATAATGTTCCTGTATACGTGCACGTTATCGGAGCCTACTACAACAGGTGCTGCCACCCGACTTCTCGGATTCAGGTTTGAAACCGTGCCATCTTCCATTTGGAAAGGTTCGCTGATTTTGTTGTTCTTCACGAAGTTCCTAGTGAACAGTAGGTACTGCTTCTCAGCGTAAGGAGATAGCCCCAAGTTGACTACAAAGGTCCCAGTGTTATTCATAAAGTAGTTCTGTTGGACTATGATCTCGTTCTCTAAGACATTGAACTCTTCCAGAGGTTTATTCTTGATGAGCAAGCCACCGAATGTCCCGTGCCTGAAATGGTTGTACTCAATAGTTGCATCTAAGTTCACGGCAGGGGAAATCTTCAAGGAGATCCGATCGCTCGCGAAGAATTTATTGTGCCCGATTTGCAGCTTGGTCAATACATTGCTAGGCCTCCAGCACGACAGAACCTCCAAAGCGTCGCTCAAGCAGTTGGTAAACGAGTTCTCGGTGATATTGAACAGCGCCTCTCCGCAGTAATTTCCATGCAAGACACCTACATCCAAGTTTTTGTAGATCTCCGAGTACTGAACCACGCTCGTTTGATTCACGAAGATATACTCCGTTTCGGCGGTGTCGTTCAGCCATATGGCAACGCCATAACCTTTGTTGGAACTTATGGAGGTCCGCGAGATGTTCCTGCTACCTCCAGTGTAAGTGATATTGATACCGTCGCCCTCGTTGAAAGAAACCCTGCTCTCCGTCACATTCACATCCCCTACACCGCTCGTCACTTGGATACCCGCCACGTGCTCGTTTTTCGACACGGAGGTCTTGTAAACGTGGATCTGCGATCTCAAGTTATCCACCACGATCCCTCTACCCAAGTTTTCCGATATATCGGAGTTGCTGACGTTAACGTCGAAGGTTTTCCGCAGCCCTGACGTAATTCTCATGAAGATCACCGTTTCGGTGTAGGGGTCAGCACGGAATTTTACGAACATTTGATTACCAGTGCTGGTAACTGCCTGTGGCCTAGTGTTGTTCCTGATCGAGAATTTGGTTATCAACCTGTTGTTTAGAGTCGATCCGTCGTAAATCTCCAAATTGGCGCTGTCATTCCGATTGGTGACTGCTCTGGTGAACTGCAGTGTCAACATGTGGCCGTATCTGGTAGTGAACACCTTGTTGCAGTTAACTTGCTTGTTAAGGAAGACGGTTTGCTCCGCGAACAGATGCAGAGGGAATGTTTGGCTTGATGCACTAGCCAGCTGACAGAAATCGTTGAAACCGTTTCTGTCAGCTCTCTCTTCTGGTCTTTCTTCGCTTCTAACCAGTCGGATGCCATCGCCGCCATTCTGGCTCACGCTGCAGCTGTCTACGTGAGCTGAGCCATAGCTGGAGTTGATGAAAACCCCATATCCCCTGTTGAACCTTATTTTGCAGTTGTTTATGGAAATGGGAGCTTCGGGATTGGTTATGTTGATGGCGTTGTAAGCAGAGTTGAAGATCTCCAAGTGGTCTATACCGGGTGGTACTCCTATCACGTCCAAGGCACTCGTAGTGTTCTGCTCTCGGCCAGCGCCTGCGTAGCGAATATTGACGTATCGCAGCTTGGACAACGACTCAGGGACATAGACCGTGTTCTCCAGCGTCAGTATTTTGTGGCTCACGGCGTTCTCGAAGCGTATTCCCCTCCAGAAGGGCAGAGGCTTCTCGTGCCTGGGCAGGCATTCAAGGCCGAAGTCGGGGTGGTAGTCGCAGACCCCTGAGCCCAGCTGCCTGGTGTCCCAGTCGCAATCGAACAGGGAACTTTCGGTGCCCGAGCACTTGGGTTGCTCGTAGAGCAGCCGGGGTTTGAGCGGCATCTGCCGGTTGTGCCAGCCTTGGAAGGAGCCACCTTGGAAGCCCAGCTGTCTGCAGGCCGTTGCCATGTCGAATGAAGTCCAGCTGAAAAGAGAAAAAAGTGTCTTGGTTGTCTGTCTCGGAAGGCTGAGGAATTTAGTGGAGACTAATTTCTCTGAACAGCATTCAGATATCCGTGAGAGGCAAGTCATCTTACCTTTGGATTTGCAAAAATGTCGGTTGTCATCTCAACCCTGAAGGGACATTCCTACAGTTTATCGAGAATATCTCCATATGGAGTGGATTGAGATAAAAAAGTCGAAATATAGTTTGTGTAATTATGAAGTCAATCATTAAATGGCTTCTCCTAAATCATTAGCAGCTATTCTTATCACTATTTCGGCCAATATATCAAATAGTTAGAAATCAGCATTATCGAATCACCCCTATGAAGTTTGAATTTACTTTGAAAAATTTGTATGTCGCTATTCCGAGGTTGAGAACCAACTCCGAAGATTATAGTGGAATTCGAACCACTTCTACGGCATTGAGGTGCTGCCAGAATTACAACTATGAATCACATTTTCACGAAAAATGCTCATCCAAGCCGGATTTGAACCGACAGTACCTTCGCAACGTGAACTTGTTTTTAGAGAACATCATTTTATTTAAATTTATTTTCATCTTTGATGCTTTTGATATCTTTTGAGGTTTAATTACCCCAAAAACGAAAAATTTTGGCCCACAAACTCATTTACATAATCAACTAGGAAAAAGCCAACATGCTCGAAGTGAAATGAAATGTTAAATATATACGAGAATCTCTGCCATTTCCACAAATGTTCATAAATGAACGAAATTGGTAGATAACGAGAGAAAAAAACTACTTTCTTGACTACATGCCACGCAGAACAATGTGTCACAATGCAATAGGTAAGTCAAATAGACGAATAAAATCGCAAGTGTTTCCTTCCTAAACGCCGAGCTGCGCCTAAGTTGTTCAGAAACGCTTGACTACCTGCAGACGGGTTTCGAGCTTTTGGCTCGCATCAGTGCAGGGCTGTCCCAGATAGCATTCATGACCGCTATCTGGTGCGAACCTGACCCAACGTGAACGCATCCCAGCATTTATAACCCAAGAGGCGTACGGGGTATCCGCGAAACGGACACGAACGCCACCTCAGCAGAGAGAAAGACCCACTCCAAAACAAATTGATATAAAATGGAAGTGGCTGGTTGCCCGACTGGCATGATTTCATCAAAGAAAAAGCCAAAATGCTCAATATGGAATGAATTGTAAATAAATATGAGAAGCTCATATTCATTTCCATGAATGTTTATAAATGAACAGAATTGGTTGATAACGAGACAAAACAATTACTTTCCTGGCTATATGCCAAGCAAAACATTCAATTACATCCTCCCGAAATATATGCAATAATTCGTATAAAATCGCAAGTGTCTCCTTCCTAACATATGTTTTAAAAGATAGGATATTGGTTCTTATAATAGGCTTCAGCTTTAGATTTGGAAATAAAGAAAATCAGGATTGCAAGTATTTTGTTGATTATTTGGAATATCTCTTCTTAGCCAAATATACAACCAAATCAAAGATTTTATGAGCTACATTTTGACTATCTTGATTTCTTTCTTAAAATTCCATCCTTTTATAAATATATTCTCGATAAATCGTGGAAATATACCTCTCGGGGTGATTTAGGGGTAGTTCCACTCCTAATTTGAAATGACATCCGACATTTTTGCAATCAGCGGGTTCAAATTACTCGGGAAATCTTCCCCTTCTATATTAGTCCTCAAGATTCCATCAGAATAATGAACATTTTAGGTTGTCACTCGCAAGACAAGAAGACTATTCTAACCTCAACAAACAAAAATACTTACTTTCTGGAGTTGGTGCAAACGCTACGCCACTGACCATTATGGCGTATTTGTACTCTACCAGACAAAATCGTTGGACCGTCCACAAGGCGGATGTCCGGGAAATTTAAGTTCTTCACCGATGATTCTTCCGAGCTCGTTAGCGTTATTCGTTCGTCTTGAGTTCCCTGCGAATCGTCAAGTGTAAAAGAAACAACGAACATGAGCTATTTTGTTTGTTACTTACGCTGAACTTTCACGATCGAATTGAAAATTATGTTGCTGTGTTTGCTCATTTAGGGAACGTTTGGCTACCAGAGGAAGCACAGGGTTCTGTTCTGGGACCCATTTCAGTTATCTATGTATAGTAATATTATAAGGAAGAAAGATTTGGTTGTTTGTTTGTATGTATTGAATAGGCTAGGATTTGGCTGAAAATTGGTGGGGAAGTAGCTCAGAACCAGGAGACGGTTATAGGATACTTTTTATCCCGGTACCATCAGGAAATTCAAGATGGCGGATCTAATATATCGGAGGAGTTCTGTAATTATGGTACGATTCTATTCAAAATTGGTATCTGGAAGTTTTTCGGGGTCGGAGATTATGATTCTTTCGTCAGAATTCGAAAATTCGGGCGGAATTCGGAAATTTAAGATGGCGGACGAGTATTGTAATTATGATCCGACTCTCTCCAAAATTGTTATCTGGGTGTTTTCGGGTTCGGAGATTATGATTCTTTTGTCAAAACTTGGAAGGGGCGGGATTTGGAAATTCAAGACGGTGAAACCAATATACCGGAAGAGTTTTGTAATTATATACCGATTCTATTCAAAATTTGTAAGAGGGCGTTTTCGGGATCAAAAATTATGATTCCTTCGTCAAAATTAGGGAATTCAAGATGGTAGATCCAATATTGCGGACGAGTTTTGTTATTATGTTCCGATTCTATTAAAAATTTTCATATGGGGGTTTTAGGAGTCCGATATTATGATTCTTTCGTCAAAATTGAGAAATTCAAGTGAACTAAAGGGAAGTTGAAATAAAGGGTAGTTTGAAGAACTAAAGAAACGCTTTAAGAGATAGCGAAACTAAAAAGCAGTAGAAAATAAAATAATAATAGTGTCTTGAAGAATATTGAACTGAAAATATAAATTGGGAAACACATATAGCTCAACATTTTCATATATCAATCATATTTGTGCAACATCTACATAATATAGACTTTAAACGACTTCAAATCAAGGAACGATACAAAGTCTTGTATCGAGACTGAAAAAAATTGTGACACAAATGCTCGCGATAACTTCAACATCAATTAATCCAAATTGAGACATAAAATAATCAATTCTGAGAATTTTTCAGCGTGAACAGCCTAGGAAGTTCCTATTAGGCAACGATACTAGTATGGATTCCTTCGTTTTCAGCAATATAACTGATTCTACATCTAAATAAGCAATTTCCTTTTTCCTTTTCAACGAGTAAGTGAGTCGGTTCGTCTTTCATCCTTTGTGGTTTCAACGTTTCAGTAAGTCTTAACGGTTCTTCTGGTTTACTTCACACCAAGAACATAACATTTTTATTACTTGATGGAACTTGTGAGGATAATAGTTGAAATTCGCCATTATAAAGTCACCTATTTTATTTTCACCTCTACAAGTAACTATACAGGGTGCTTCATATTGTAATCTTCTTCTTTCAGGCAGATCGCTTCACGTGGTGGTGGGCGGTGTATCGTCTGATACCATTGGCATCAATTCCGGCGTTCCACAAGGATCAATTTTGGCACCAACATTATTCCTGCTTCATATCAATGATCTGTTGGGAGTAACAACTTGCCCCATCCACAGCTTTGCAGATGATAGTACCCTCCATACTGCGTTCTCTTCCAGAATTCTCATTTCTTCCCAGGAAACTAAGAACTCACGGCGCAGCCAGGTCAATGCTGTCAATGAAGATCTTGCTGAAATCACAGCCTGGGGAACAAACAACCTAGTTGAATTCAACGCCACCAAAACTCAAGCCTGCATTTTCTCTAGAAAGGCGGAACTCAGTATACCCGATATTGTAATGTCTGGCTCCACCATCCCCACCAAGCCCACCATATCTATGCTCGGTATTTCCATCAGCAACACTCTTTCATGGGACAATCATGTCAGATCCATCACAAAAGCTGCTTCACAAAAAACTCGGATTCTTGTTCCGTGCGAAAAGCTACTTTACACCTCAACAGCTTCTCATGATCTACAAAGCGCAGATACGGCCTGTTCTAGAATACTGTTCCCACATATGGGGTTCAGCACCAAAACATACGCTGATGCTCCTAGATTCCATCCAGAGAAGAGCCATTCGCCTGGTGGGTGACGCCACACTCACTCACTCTTTGACATCATTGGAATACCGTAGAAAGGTCGGCGACCTTTCACTTTTCTATCGATACTTCCACGGGAAATGTTCTTCGGAAATCTCTGCTATCATCCCTTCACTAGCAATACCAATCAGACGAACTAGGCAAGCCCAGTCAGCACATCCTTTCGTTGTCAACCTCGAAAGATGTCGAACAGCACTTTATCAAGACTCCTTCATCCATAGAACGGCTAGGCTCTGGAATTCATTGCCTGTGGAAGTATTCCCAACAACATATTATCTCCAAAAGTTCGAAAAAAAATCCAATACCTACCTCCTGTCCCTATCCTCCCTAGGAACGCACGATGTTCTTTGAACATTATAGGGATTCCCTTTCGTGCGCTTCAAGCGATAAAAAAAATCGAGGCATTTCAATAGGCGAGACACAAGGTGTTGAAGTGTTTGAAAAAGAGTTCATTTAGGTATAGCTCAAAAACTCCCCTGCTGATTTTTGTTAAACTTACTAGTTTTATTTGTAATATTGAAATGTTTCTTTTGGCGTAACTATAGATATAGGACCACCGTAATTATTCTTGTATGACCCCATAGGCTTGATTGATATTTATGGTAGAATTTAGTGTGCTCCATTATTATCATTTTCTGAATACTGTTTGTAGGTTAATCGACAGGGCCAGCTTTGGAATTTATGCCAACTAGATATGGATCCACCAGTTGTAAATTATTGGATCTGATAATATGCTCTGATAATTTAACTGCAAGCGACTGTACTATTATTGACTGCTCTTCTTTTTCGGATCACTGTCTAGTTTCTTTCAAGATCAAATTCATAGAACCTAATATAGCTAGCAGAATGTGTACATTTAGAGATTTTAAGTATTTCAAATCTAATGGGTTTCTTTCTGATCTTTCATTATGCAATTTTCAGCCAATCTACGAAACAGATGATATAGACGAAAAAATTGAGTTATTTAACTACTATTTGTTAAAAACATTTGATGCACACGCTCCGATGCGTACTATAAAAATTACTAAAAAGAAGTCACCGTGGTTGACAGATAATCTCAAATTCATGATGAATTTGAGAGATCGAGCACTAGGTCGATACAAAAAGACGAAAAACGAGCACCATTGGCAATATTATAAAGATCTACGGAACCTTGTAAATCGAACAGTTGTATTAGAAAAAACAGCATATGTCGAACATCGTCTGAAAAAAAATAAAAAAACCATTTGGAAAGATTTATCAGATATGAATATACATAATAATAAGAGTATGAAAATAATTATCCCTGAGCACATCAACAACGTTAGTGAAATTAACGACTTTTTTACTGCTATTTCGAATGAAAATTCATCGCCTGATGATGATTTACAAAATTTTTTCTCTTGCAATATTGAAAATGATTCAATTAACTCGTTTGACTTCTCAAGTACTTCTGAAAATGAAATATATGATTTCTTATTAGGAATAAAATCAGATGCTACCGGCCCAGACGGTATAAGTATTAGGATGCTTTTGTATTGTTGCCCATTCATTCTACCTCTGATCGTTCATATTTTCAATTTCTGTATTCTGAATAGTGTTTACCCTGCGTTATGGAAGAAATCATACGTGATACCATTAGCCAAAAACTCAAACCCTCAAGAATTTAGTGACCTTCGACCTATTAGCATTTTATGTGCTCTGTCTAAGGTATTCGAGAAAGTAATCAATAAACAAATCAAGGAATATGTCGAAGCCCACAACATATTACCCAACTGTCAATCTGGATTTAGAAAAGATTTCAGCTGCACTACTGCACTTTTAAAGGTGGTTGATGATTTTCATACAGCTTCAGATAATAATTCCTTATGTATCCTCGTTCTCTTAGACTATTCAAAGGCTTTCGACAGAATAAATCATGGAATGTTATTGAGTCTTCTACACTACCTCGGGTTTTCAAATAACTCTATAAATCTAATTAAAAATTATCTTTGTCTCAGATCACAATGCGTTACCCTCAATAATATCAAATCTGAATTTAAAACGATTGAAAATGGTGTGCCACAAGGATCAATTATAGGACCACTGGTATTCACATTGTACACATCGCAATTTCCAAGTTGTTTAAATCATACTTCAATACACACGTATGCAGATGACACCCAACTTTATATGGTTTTTACAAAAAATGAACTGAATCAAGCATGTACAAGAATAAGTCAAGATATAGAGTCACTATTATTGCTTTCTAGAAAATATTGCCTCACTATTAACCCTACAAAATCCTGTGTAATGGTTTTCGGTCGTCCGTCAGCAAAGAAGCTTTGTAATAATAATAATATCAACATACTAGTCGATGGGGTGAAACTACCTTTGAAGGATGAAGTGAAAAATTTGGGTCTGATGTTGGATAGCTCATTAAGATTCTCTGGACATGTTTCGAACATTTTAAAAAAAGGATACAGCAGCCTTAAATTGATTTATTCCAACAGGAGGCTAATGAATGTTACTGTGAAAAAAATGTTATGTGAAACTTTAGTTCTTTCACATGCAAATCATGCAGACGTTGTTTATGGACCAAATTTAACGAGAGTGGACAGGTTCAGGGTGCAGAGGCTGCAAAATTCATGCGTGAGGTTAATATCCGGAATCAACAGGAGGCAGCACATCTCGCAGCACTTGGCTAACATCGGCTGGTTGAACATGGAAATGCGTCGAACTCTTCACGCTTGTGTGCTTTTTCACAAAATAATATGTTCACAACGGCCTGTCTACTTGTATCACAAAATTACTTTCAGAACAGATGTACATAACCTCAATTTGAGATTCAAAGGAATGATA